ACTGAGGAAAAAAGCCTAATATCATAAAACTTTATAAATTCTTACATTGATCAAGTAAAGCACTTAAAATGAATACAGAAAATATGCAAAGGATATTTAAGAAATATACACAGTGGGATTCTTACCACGATTTGAACAATAAACGTTACAACGCCTTTTTTTTGTCCATTTTTGGATCATATTAACAACTTTTTAAAAGCTTTTTTACCTAGAAAACGGGGCGAGGGAATGGACTTGAAAGAGTATACACAAGTTAATGGCCAATACCTTCGTCAAATTGTACAGATATTTTGGGGATATTATCTCAAGACCAATCATATAAAAATACCCCAGTCTACAGTAACTGTTTAAAGCTTTATCCCAGTCAGAAATTCACAGTTATTTTATTTAATACTTTAGACTAATATGTCAAGCACTTTTTTTTTATTAAGCACCCACATGCATTCTATTATTAGGATACAAAATAAATAACCAAGACACTCGATCTAATCTAGAGAAGTTTACATCATTTCATTTATTTTTAATTAGATATTTTCGTGTATAATTTTAATTACATTTGGAAAATATATTATTTACTAAATGTTTACTTCACAATATCCTTATTGGTGCTACACGTGACACTTATGTATTGAAAGGGCAGGTCTATAATTTGAAAACAGATTTAGATATTTCATCTGATATTTTTTTTTTTTTTCGTGAAACTGCGTAAAACATTCTGATTTGTGAAATAAAATTATTTAAATAGGCACAGTCATACAACAATCTTATATGGACAAAAAACTTAAAACAATGCAAAATTATCGTTTGCTACCTTTTAAGAATACATTAGATGACGTATAAAAATTGATCAGATTTTATCAGCATTTTGTAGTCACAATGAAAATATCCAAGTTGCTGAAGGCGCCTTTACTTGAGTGTTATTCACCGTTTCGTAACAATTTGATGAATAACGTTTATCAAAAAGGGATTAATTTTGCTCATGTTAATACACTCTTTAATTATTTAGAGATTTAGAAGTTTCGGAATTGTACCTCTGTCGGTAGATTGTCTTGTTTTCTAATTATTTAGAACTAGTAAAAAAAAAAAATAAACACTGTGAGGAGTATAAAATTATTTGATTTGGACTGGCGTATAAAACGAGGTAGGCTATTCCGTTAAAATACTTCGATGAATTTAATTATTTTAATTTCTTACTGATTATCATAATTAAAATAAATAACTGATAAGACTTTCAAATAAATATTATACATGTCAGATCATTTTGTTCTAGTGAATAAAAATGATATTATAAAAATATTTTGGAAGTTCAAAATTGTAGAACAGTGTAACCGGCTTGGTAACAATATAAACTAATAAAACAGCAATGAGCTGCTAATATAGTTCTGAAAATTCATAACAATATAATAAATAATATAAAGATAGCTGTTATTATCAATGGCAAGAAATTGAGTTTATTCTAAAACAAATGGAAAATAAATTAATGAAATTCCACATTACTATATTTAATTTGGGATTTAAATCATACAATCATTCAGAAAGTCATGCAGCCAGTTTTTCTGGCTTTACTTTAAGGGGAAGATTTCATGTATTCCTGTCCACTTTTTAGTAAGATTGCAAGATATCACCTGTTAGAGAATAGGTAATAAGTATAAAGCTTATACATTTTTGTTACATTTCAAATACATACTATGTAATGTCATGACTGTTTATTTGCGACCGTGGTGCTTGGTCGTCTACATCTCCAGCAAGCAGACAGAACCACAGTGAAAGTATATAAAACGCGAAAAAAAAAAGACACTTTGAAAGCATAAAAATCAAAATGAGCCGCGCCATGACAAAACCAACATAATGCGTTTGCGACCAGCATGGATCCAGACCAGCCTGCGCATCCGCGCAGTCTGATCAGGATCCATGCTGTTCGCTTAAACCCAATAACAAGTAGAGAAACTGAAAGCGAACAGCATGGATCCTGATCAGACTGCGCGGATGCGCAGGCTGGTCTGGATCCATGCTGGTCGCAAACCCATTATGTTGGTTTTGTCATGGCGCGGCTCAAATTACGAGTTTACCTATTTTTTGAAAGGACGTGCCGACGTTACATATGACACACAGAAAGGACATAAGTACTCCAACATGGGTAGACCAAATAAGCGAGGACGTCATAGTGAAAGATGCTGAGGACACATCTTGGTATTTGGGAGGCTACAATGGGGTAATTTTAAATTGTCATGCGTATTTAACTTCTTTTGTTACGTACACATTTGAAAGTTTTTTGAGAGTTTTATAAATACGATATTATATTTATATGCTTTGGATTCGATGAAATGTAAAAACAGTAATCTAATGGATAGTCTTGAAATGGCACAGGTTAACATGTCAAGGTGAATCTAATTACCGCCACTCTGTCTTTTGAAAAGAATAAAAAACAAACAATTTGCATTGTATATTCATTTTTACATTGCTATGTAAATTAAATGTATCTTAAAAAATTAAGTACACTTTTTAACGTGTGTAAAAGAATAAAGTATATTTTAAAATAATGTTAAGGTAGTTATAAAAAGTATGTTAAGATTCATTCATTCATTCATTCATTCATTCATTCATTCATTCATTCATTCATTCATTCATTCATTCATTCATTCATTCATTCATTCATTCATTCATTCATTCATTCATTCACATTCATTCATTTATTCATACATTCATTCATCCATTTATCTTTTTTTCTATCAATTTCATGTGAAATTAACTGTGCATCATTCAAGAATGTAGAAATAGGGTCAGAATCTCAAACTTTTTAATAAAAAATGAATGAATGAACGAACAAACGAACGAAAAATCGAATAACCAATATCTTTTCCTTTACGGGTGCCCCCGGGTTTCAGGAAAAGGAAAAAATTTTTCAACGCTTACACATTTGGTTACCACAGGAATTTCCCATTTTAACATCTTTGGGGTTCAAGGGCCCTCTTTTGACCCACCCGAAAACAAACGGAACACTTTGCTTTTTTGATTTTTTTCCGGGTTTTCCCGCAGTTTTAAAGGTCCCCCTTTGGGTGGGTTAAGTTTTTTAACTTACTAAGCCCAATAATTTTAATAAAGGAAAGGATATAAAATTAAAACAACTATTTAAAAAACCAGAAAACAAACACTTCTGCCCCCTTTTTTAATAATATTGGAAACAAAACAAATTATAATAGGGTAAATACTTCTCAAATAGTAAGCAGTAAAAGAAATTTGACGAAACGGTAAAAAACAACAGTAAAATAGAAGTATTTCTTTTCTTTACTGGTTATTTGAAATTCTTACGCACGAATTAAAAAGAAGTTCGTAAAATAAGTCTTAAAAATGAACTAACGTTGTACTGTAAAATGAGAATTTCTGCACAAAACGTGTTTTAAATATCTTATAACATCTATTTCAGATGGAACAAAATATCGTGAGTATAATTTATTTTATGGCAACGTAGTTTATATATATTTATTCTGTTTTAATGATTACTATTGTCTCAATAGCACACTATCCTTCAACATGTCACCCAGTATGTAAATCCTTGATAATTGCTTAACAATTGACTAACTGCTCGTTCAGGCAACATGTAATATATGTCATCGTCTCGTACCAGATTATACTTAAAATGCTACAAAATTAAAAAAAAAAAAACAAAAAAAAACCAAAAAAAAAACAAAAAACAAAAACAAACAAACACCGTTGTCATATTCATAAGAATGAGGTACTTTATATACACATATAGCCTGAACTGACACAGAAATGTAGCATTTGGTTCTATTTTTAGAAGCGAGAATTGCTAATGGATCTCTTCCTCTACTGAATGTCCCGTACACACAAGACATGATGGACCCTAATTCTGAGTCCTTCAAGAAAATACAAACATCGCTATGCAAAGAGGTAAATTTTACAACACAATTTGTCTTATTGTATAGGACCAGATCAAACCTGCAAGTTTTTCCTGTATTAATATAATTGGTAATTATGGCTGTAAAAGATTTAATATTTTGAGACAGAAATCACTGACAATAGCCATAAAATACTGAAAGCAATGAGTACATGAAAGAAATAGTCCATTATGAGAAGATAGAGATAAATAAGAAGCATGGGTCAGGTTTAATAAATACGTACATGTAAATACTTTTTCCACACCAATAAGAAACAATTCATATCACATGCATTTTCAAAACGTTTATCAAATTGCTGTATGCAAAGCATATCTGATGACTTAATTGAAAGTTACTTCTTATACCATATGTAAATATTGAAAAACATGGCTTGATTTTATTTTTAATTTAGTTCGACATGTCGTTCAGAAAGAGTGCATATGCCGACCAGTTACGAATATTGTCAAATAGAGTCATTGCGCTGTTAGTAACAAAAAATTTATACTTATACTGTTTGAGTAATTGTTATTTAATAATAATAATAATAATAATAATAATACATGTAAAAATAAAAATAATAATAATAATAATACATGTAAAAATAATAATAATAATAATAATAATAATAATAATAAAAAAAAAACTATGATGATGACGATGATGATGATGATGATAAGTCGTACATATATGTAACAGTTGAATAAAATTATCGTTATATTGAAAGCGACTTATATTGATAGTGCTTCATATGCACAGCTCAAAGATACTTCGAGCGTAAAATATAATGTTTATCAACCACATCAAAAATGATAACTTTGTAACCACGCAACCACATTTAACCCATTGACAAACAATCTTTGGCTTAATCATGGCAGTAATATCATTAAAAAAATCATTTTCGATACACAAAAGTACAATTAAAAAAACCCCACTAATTTCACATTAAAAGAATTTGAAATAAAAAGACATATAGGGTAATCTAAGATATACTTATTTCTCGTATTTAAGTGTTTGCCAGCGTGAAGTATAATTACATAGAAATATGATTAGGTATCTATATATCAATAACATGAATTTATATTTTTTCTGTATAAACTAGGCTTGATGTTACCCCTCTACCGTGCGCATGCTCAAACATCACCAGTCCCCTTAGGTAAGTTAAATATTTGCTGCTTTGTGTTGTATATGTTTATATTAATTAACAGTCATCTAAACTGATGTATATAGTTTATTTTTCTTGTACATATAAACATATAATTATATAATTCCTTCTATTACCCAAAGTGCAGTCTAATTATACTACAAGCACAACTTTTATTCTATAACGATTTCACATCTTCACATCTACCCATGAAAAAAAAAAAGATTCTGAAATAAAAAAAAATACATCGATAGCAATAAAATAAGAATATTATCGAAAATTGATAACAGGTTGGTTCATTGACTGTAAAACAAAGGCCACGATCGCAGTTCTAGGCAACATTCAGCCCTAATTAAAAATCATCGCTTTAAAGATGGGCGATCTTTACAATCGCCACATAATTTGTGTATGTATATTGTTTGAGAAGTACTGAAAGATATGTTGTTGGTAGCTATGGTACTTTTATTGAGCATTGCTTTAAAACATTGTGAGATACTTTATTTTAAGATCTAGCAACGTGAGAGCTTATATAAATTTTGGATTTGGTGATGAAATGTACAAAGAGGATATACAGAAGATAATAGAAGATCAAATTCGAAGGATATATGGCATAGATTATGACGTACTGATGATCGACGATTACGTCATTGATATTGCAAGTCACATGGTAGCCACTACGCTCAAACCAATAACTCCTGACCGTAAGTTACACGAAATTCATTGACATTTTCGTAATTTCTGTTGTTATTTCAAGCAGTGTACCATGCTCTAAATGATAAAGAAGCCAAAGAATATATACTAACTCGTGCTTTAATAGTGATTTATTCAAACCGTTATTTTGATTTAGCCTCGTGTGACTGAGGGATTGCCTTTGATGGCTGAGTCAAAATAATTGCAGCCAACTGTGAGATCGTAAGAGGCGACTAAATGGGTTCAAATTACTGGAGTCTATGCATCTCTTGGCTCCAGCAGATGAGGTGGTTTTGACCCCTGATTGATGCACACCAAATCAAAATGAACAAGCATAAACATTTTGATTTAAACTATTAGCAAATGTCATTTGTTAAAAGTACAAATTGTCTCTTTTTCCCAGTCGGATTTCTTCAAAATTGCTTATTTGACTGAATTACTGAAGTATATAATTCCCGATTTATACTCGTTACAAAATTTAAATTACCTTAGGTGAATTACAACTTCTATTAATTATGCTAATTAAAAGTAGAGCTATTTTATTTGTTTATTTGACAATATAGTTTTTCAATTTTCACAAAATGATAGCATGAAACGAGTACCGCTTTAACCATTATAAGATTATTTGTTGCTCTACTATTAATGAAATAAGCATTGCTAGTTTAATTTTACCTCATCTTTGCCATTACTTCTACGTTTTGTGATATTATTTTCAGCCGGTGTGCGGGCAAGTCTTACCATCTGGGTATACAACATGACCTACACCAGTGATCTTGCAGATTCAAATTCTGATAATTTCCAAAATCTTGCAAAACCATTTTGCAATGACGTAAGTTTCCAATCTTTTCGTCTTATTTTTTTTAGTTAAATATTCTTAGTCAATATAAAGTAATGTTTCTTTTATTTTATGTACGACAATCGGTACTGCAGTAACGTATGTGAAAGATTTTAGAGCTAATAAAACACATAGCTGGCTCTTTAGCTAAAGTCGAATATTTAACTATCATTTTATGCACTGCCAAATTCTGAATTGTCTTAATTTTCACTTACAAACTAATAAAATGAAAATTATTTGTTCTTTCTCATCTAACAGTTACGACGGATATTTTTACTGAGCTCTTTGCAGTCAAGATATTATAGTTGTCAAGTCAAGGAGTTCAGGTATTTTATTCAACCCAGTATATTATTATTTTTAAATTATATATTACATTAATTATAACTGCAAATAATTATTGTGAGGAAGCTACCCAGCTAGCGTGCGGAACGTCAGTGGTTCTACCAGGTGCCCGTTCGTTCCTGGAATAATGCGGTCTTCCACCACAGTTAAAACTGGAAAGTCGCTACATGGCTTCTGCTGTGTTGGCCCGACATAAAACCCAACTAGTTGAGTTCTTTTCTGAATTATCTAGCTATCGGACGTACCGTTATATGTCCCAACGCCGCTAAATGTGGCAATTGCCACTAAATGTCGCCAAATCATATGCTTTAAATGTCGCAATGGTAACTTTATAAACTAATTAGATTTATTATGAGTAAAAATTTCTTAAAAGTTATAGTAACGTTTTTATCGCTCGTTTTTATGAATACAAAGTCCTAATTACTAGGCTTTTATAACTTCCTATGTAAGTGAAAACTAACTACGGTCTTAAAACTCCTTAACAGAAGAAATTAAGTTCTTAACTCTTCACATTACAAGTTAAACAGTTTTAAAGAACGGTTCGGTACCAACTCACTTTTGCAAAATTGTCATTTTATTAGATATTCGACCATGCGACCACATACATGCACCGAGGACATGTTGTTAGGAAAATGACCGCGCGACCACATACACGTACCACAGGATTCCCCTTCTTTTACGAGAAATGGACAAAGACCTGCTCGCCCTTTTATTAAAGGGCATACTTCATTTCCTTATTATAATGTTAAGGAGGCTTATTTTCCCACATATGTCTTAAACTCGTTGATATACACAAACGGTTTCGTAAACCAAGCGAGTGGTCAGTTTTCGTCCTTTTAAGTTCGCTTTGACATTTTTTTTATAATTTTGCAATGCTTTACATCCAAATCGCACAAAATACGATTTTTTATTTATTTCTGAGTATAATATTTATCATCATTTGCATATTTTTCTGTTTTAAGTGTCCCAGCTAATCCATGTAACAAATTATATTTTTATGTATTTAGGCCTTTGACCTCATTGGAGTCCCTATAATATATTATCATATATACCTGTGTGTTTCTTTTCTCTTTTGTAATGTGTTCGTTCGATTCATGAATGTATATGGTGTTCAATAAAAAGAAAAAAATCCACAACATTTTACTATTCTTTCTTTTAACAATCGAATTATTCTCAGTCCAGACGAGGCATTTCTAACAAACTGAAAATTGTTATTAATACTATTAATTTACAGAGAGGATCCAGACATTGTCAACACAGATGTGTGGTTCACCGGTAGAGATGTGTTTGGTTTACAGACGTCAGTTAAAAAGATTATTCTTGACAATGCCCGTGTTGTGAACGTGTCGAACACGAGTCGTAAAATAATTGGAACGCTTCTGATTACACCAAAATCTGGAAATGATTCTAACGTGACAATTACTATCCCAGTAAACCCGGAGACCACCATATCACCAACTCCATCAACCCGACCTCCTAAATGGAAAGGTAAGAAGAAGTCAACATATTTGAGGATATGATTAAAATGTATTTTATATTTACATATCCACAGGGGATCTACTTTGGTGGAATTTAACATTGCAAAGATAATGTAATTCATGTCTCTTTTTTTAAAATAAAAAATGCACGTTAACTGCACATCATTATCTATTTTTTTTAGATGGAATGCCATATGTAGAAACAGTACTGAACTTCACTGGCGTTGATTATAATGCATCACTTTGGGACACAAGCAGTTATTTCTTCAAAACACACGCCAACAAGTTTTGCAAAGACGTAAGTATCAACTATAAAATCTTCAGTTGTCCATAGAAACTCACAAAGTCAAAACTGCGGAAAGGAAAACAAATTTAACTGTTTGAATTTAGTTAGAATATAACCTGATAACAGTTTGTTCTTCTTGTGAATGTATCAAAATCAATTCGTTTCAGAATAATGTATACATATAAATGAATGACATTTTCACTAATTTTAGTGCTTCCTAAATTATTCGTTAATCATTACCATGCTAAAGATCTTAAATGTTATTGACCATCTTTCAGTCTGGACCAAACAATTCACCATTTTTAGGAAAAAATTCCAAAGATGTGCTAACTGAATAGTGAACAGTGCAGACCAAGATCAGACGATACGGAAGTGTCTGCTGATCTTGATTTGCACTGCTTGCATGGGTAACTTCAGTGACCAACAGCAGACTAAAGATTAATTAGAAAATTAAAAGGAATCACTTTACAGAACACTGTAATCATTATGTAAAGTTTTGTTTTGTTAGTTGGAGAGAATGATATTGCAGAGCAGCTGGAAGAGAGATTTCTACGATTGCAGTCTTGTGAATATATAGTAAGTAATCTCTTATCATTAACTGACAATGACAATTTCAATAATAATAGAAGAGCGCATTGAATTGTTATTGTATTAAAATGAAAATTCCGATTCAATGAACAATTCAGTTTTATCCTCAATTAATTTATCTTCATTGTATTCGTTTTTGTATTTTCTGATCGAAGATCAGTAAAATACAAAGCAGACATTCAATCTCTGACACAGAATTTCACGACAGACCTAACAACAAGTAGTTCTCAAAACAGCTTAAAACTATCGATTTAAAAGAAAGAAATATTTTAATTTTGTTACAAGTATCCAACAAAATACAACGCATTCAAAGTTTATATTATAGAATTGCCAATAAATACACAATCACAAATTACGCGGATGAATATGATTTTAATCAATGAAAAAGCTATTTTTAGCGATGTCGATTACCGAATACAACACAAATAAATCTGACTGCCGAGTAGTGGAGTATATAAATTCTACATGTCGGTCTGTTTGGGCGAGAAGATTTTCGCTAAATTATTTACTTCAATTTTAAACAGCAGGTTTATCCTGAACAAAATACCTCGAAAAACTTATAAGGATTACAAACCCGAAATGCAATGGAAGTTCTAAATTTAGAATGACTTGATTTTAGTATAATAACTTCTTCGTGGTGCAGGGGTAACGCGCTCGTTTTGTGTGTGAGAGGTCTGAAGTTCAAATCCCACTCAAGACAATTTAAAAAAAAAAGATTTTAAGTGTCTTTGTTAAAGAAGTGACCATGATATATAAGGATAAAGTGTGTCTGTCATAAAAAATGAACATAAATGATTTTTTGTTGCAACTCTAGTTATGCAAATTCCGTATGTATCAAACTCTTTTGCCTTGCAAGATGAATTATAGTACATAAAAATAATTTAACTAATACAGGAACATATATACAGGACGATTTAGATTACAAAGATCAGAAAATACCACAGAGCTTGCAGCCCTTTCATTACTCCATTTGGTCCTCTGTTTTAGCAATGTTTCATATCAGTATTGTTACATTTTTTCCTGGTCATTCTTAATCATTGATATATTATATTTTAGTGTTGAGGATTGAATATCGCTAACGCCGGTGCCGGGGGGGCATGAGTGACGCAGTGCCAGTGCAAGAATGATGTTGCATTATCCCTCATACACAGACTCAATAAAACCGAGTCTACGATTTTTAATTTTTGTTTCTTGTCTTTATTGCTCGCAAGGGCTCTCCTTTTTACCAAAATTTGTTAAGCCTTTAAACACCAATGATCTTTGATTTATACATTGACAAATAATGATGAATGTATGATAACGTACGTTTCAGCCCTCCAGCGGTTGGTCAGTTACATCCAACTTTGAGGACAGTTATCCACATCAACTCCAATGTTCGAACCCCTGACGATCTGATTGACATAATAAAGACATATGGCGACAAGTACATCTTTCCCGGTAACCTTGAAACTTACAGAGTAGGGGATCTTTACATCATTCTTAAAGACGGCCGATTTGATATTTACTCATCTAGTTACGGAACACACACAACGATTGAATATCCGAAGACAACGGCGACACTGATGCCGAGTATATTTACAACATTTAGTTACAGTTCACCTACAATGACGTCAGGGGATACGACAAAGCCACCCGTTTCCACCATTGTTATTGTATACAGTATGTTGATTCATATTTATTACTTGGAACTTAAATATGTTATAAGTACATGTCAGATTGCTGTGATTAAAATGTTGATAACTTATTGATAACACATTTTAAGCATTCTAAGATTACAGTTCATTTGTAGATTATAATGAATATTGTTAGGAACATAACAGATGAAATTATGGTAACAATCGTGTTAATTTCAAAAAACAAAATCCAAAAAAAACAAAAAACAATTACCTTTAGCAATTTTGTAAACTGCAGACAGACAGCAGATATATAGCTATAAAAACCAATATAAGTGTATCACCTAAAAAAGTATGCTGAATTGAACATAATTTGTATTTAAACTTTCATACAAAATACTAAAACACTATAACTATGTGTCATGCAACAACATGCAAAAGAACAAACAATATAGTTTAAACTAATAATGGCCGATGAGTAATTTTTATGAAACCGTCAAAGTACACAAAAATAATGATTTGATTTTAATTTCTACAGATGCCACTGCAGCTTTTATTGAGAGCCAGCTGATTGACTTTACATACACGACTGATTTACAAGACACAACATCTAACAGATTTATGTCGCTGGAAAAAGCATTCTGTGAAGATGTATAAAATGTTTTATTTATTCATTGATTTATTAAAAACATAATATACCATTCTTCTGATGTAAATGTCACTTTTAGGGATATATAGTGACCTAGTGGTTGCGGTCGTTGAGTTCAAACCACTTTCCTCTCACTGCTGTAGGTTTGATCCGCGCCAGCGTTTCTGAATTCTTTCATGTGAAAAAGCTATCCTGCTAGCTTACAGAACTTTTGTGGTTCTACTCAGGCTCACAATTGTGCGTGAATTAGTGCATAAAGTGGCATCCGAGCTCTTTATCCGCCAGTAAAGGTTAAAAGTCGATACCCCCCCCCCCCCCCCCCCAATAAAATAAATAAACGAATAAAAAAAAATAAATGAATAAAAATAAATAAACAAATAAAAACAACAATAACAACAACAACACAAATAAGTTATTAGCTTTATCGGTATCTTTCGTTTACATTGTAACCGTTAAGTGATGAATGTATGAATATTATGACTAAATAATTGTTATGCCATTGTTAATTCGTTTATTTATTAAGCTTTTATAGAAAAACAATTTAAATATTGTTATTTTTTTTTCGAATATTATACATAAGAATTGTCATATATTAATAAAACACAAACATGTTCAATACACAAAACAATAATTTGGTTAATTGGTTTCTTTTACATATTTCAGATTGATAGATTTTTCAAATCTAGTACCCTTCATATGTACTATAGGAATTGTAAAATAACTGGATTTACGTAAGTTGTTGTTTAATGAATTAAAATATATATGATTGATATAAGAATAAACTTATGACCGGTACATATAAGTGTCAAACGAAAAATGAAGAAGAAAAAACCATGTTAAAGTATACCATAATTTCAAACAATATGATTTTGATTTTTAGTTGCAGTATAAATGCAGATTTCATCTTATTTACCTTTATACCTTGAAAGCATTTGTTACTTCTTTCTGAACATCATATTTTGAAAATGTATTTTCTATAGTCTATAATCACTGTTCTTGATTTGTGATCGACAAACTGATTTTCTTCTAGATCGGATCCCAAACTATCATTCGTACTTCAATTCACATCTCCATCAGGGAACCACCTACAGACTACCGTTCCTTCAGTGCTAATTCAGAAAGCCCCAAAGGCTGAGATCAGGCAGATGACGGTTCTAAAGATAGGTGGCCTCAACTTGTTATACCAGCAGATTGGATTTACAGTTTCTGTCACCAATTTTACGTTTGACAGCACTCCAACTATATCTCCTACCGGCACCATTGTTGTTCCATCCACTAGAATTCCAATTATATACAGTAAGGACAGTTACCTTTTAGATACTTTATTATTTTTGGTTAGAGATAAACAAGCAATACAATACCTTTTTTCAGGACAAAGTGTTTGACGATGTTAATTCACAATCGCATATGATAACATGACAACATGCAAAAAAGTAGCTAAGGTTTTTTTTCTTTTCTTTTCTTTTTTAAACTTGATTAACCAGCATTGAATGCAGATAAGAAATTCGATGTTTTCTTGAATTGATTGATACATCTATAGCATTGTATTAAGAAATTGAGATATATTTTAGATATTTCATAAGCGCTCGTTGGCACTCATCAATATAGCAACAAATATTTTTTTGAAATAAATTAAATCATTTTATTTAAATAACTAAATTAAAAGTTAAAATATAAATTCATATTCTAGTATAAGTCTAATTTTCTAAGGAAACAATCAATGGAACAGTTTTAGTGATAATATTTCATTGAATATACAGTTGATAATTATTTGGCGATGTGTTTCTTGTATACAACTTGACTTGATGTTCTTCAGCTGCGGTCCTTCTGAATGTGTTTTGTGATGTCGCCATGGATGTCAGCGGTGGTCTTCAAAACAAAAATTCTCAAGTTTTTCTTCGTCTGCAAAGAAATTTCTGTCAAGAAGTAATAATGAAATTGCCTTTCCTTCATATTTCTTGTCTAAATATAATTTTGGATGATACTTATGTAACTTTAATACATTGTATGGGACATTTGAACTTGTGTTTATAATTCAGATTTTACGTTTGCTTGACATTAGAATGCAAAGCAAATATCTTTTTACAGAATATTCATGTTGAAACAACAACAACAAAAAAGCAAGAAAAAAAAACATTGTTCATTACATCACATCCTTTAAGAAACACAAAAGTTCTTAATTTATATTTTATTTAAGATAACGGTTGAATAGATAAAGTTATGTTAGCCGGTTAATATTTACACTAAATGCATTACATCTATATTCATAAAAATATGTTCATTTACACTTTTCTTTCAACCTAGCGTATTTCATTTCAACTTGTCATTTAATATGTTTTCTAGATAGACAGGTTGTTTGCATTAGAATCTACGACAGCTGATTCTTATCTGGACTGCTATATTACAGAGTTTAGGTAAATTAGATTACGATTAATTCATTGAGACAATACATGTATATATAAATTATGCTAATATTACTGTTACAAATTGCTGATGGGATATATACGGGAGAACATACCCTGAATGAGATAAATATGACATGATATATGAAAATGTCATCATAGCTGTGTAATTTTTGTCTATCATTTTAAACTAACGCAATATGCCATAAAAAACCAAACGGAATTTTAAATTGCACGTGAATTACCCCCTCTACAATGTAGGAAATATTGTTTATGCTGCAGGAAAACAAGAACATTTCATTTATATTTTAACAGTTCTGATGCATCAACGATTAACTTCCACACAATATTTGGTATAAAACCTACAGACTCATTTGGCCAGGCTGCAGTTAATTTGATCCACCGACTAGCAAACAAGGTTATGTTTCAGCAGATAGAGCGTTTAGATATTGGCGGTGTCGTCGTAGAAAAAGATAGCTGCAGCGCGAACATTTACCCCGTGAATTACACACATCCGCAGACGACACTATTTCCAACGTTAACCCCAACATCTCAGGTCATCCTTCCAACAATAGGTAAACCTGAATAATAATTTTATATTATTTCATAATTGGATTCTTTCGTTCAAATTTCTGAAATATTTTTTTTCCTATCTAATTCTTTGATTTTAAGTGTTTAAAATATTGTATTCTATATTTTTTAAAGCTGATTATAGCTGTTACATATCGGTAGAATGTGTGTTTGTATCTTTAATGAAAAATCATACCAAACGAATAAAAAAATAAAAAAATGGTATTTGTTTATCTGAGATAAACTTAGTACCTACAAGAATCCACTGCTAAATTCATACAAAACGAATAAATAAAAAAAAAATAAAATGGTGTTTGTTTATCTGAGATAAACTTAGTTCCTACAAGAATCCATTGCTAAATTCAGATTAATATAAGCTTAATAATATGGTATTTGTTTGGCAATTCATTTTTATTATGCATTATTATATAAATGATATCGGATATATACAGAGACAGTGCTATTAATATGAACATATGCATATTCTAACAACGTTACTGCATCTTTTAAAGAACAAATCCCAAGAAAACAAAACTGTTAATACTACAACCTTTATTTCAACATACTGTAAATATTCACCATTTACTAGTACTTCAATAACGAGTAAGTAATAATGAGAAATCTAAACAGTTTTGACTTAAAACTAAAATTTCTTGAAGAAAAAATTAACAAAAATAAACAACAACAACCACAACAACAAAAGCCCATCCAATCAAAAATGTATACTCTTCACTCTCATATTTTCCTCAGGTCCAGATCATTGTTTACGAAACCCATGTGCAAACGGAGGGACTTGTGTTGATGAACCTTCGTCTTACTCTTGCTTGTGCGTATTAGGTTTTAGTGGTCGTGATTGTGAAACAGGTAATCCAAGTTTTTTTTTTCAAATATATTTTATGTATTCTTGAACTTATTCATATGTCGCCTATTGCGCTTAAATATGCTTTTTTGGAGTTGAAACCTATCCTTAAGTGTACTATAATTTACATTTATGAAATTGTGAAATTAAACAGAAGAGAAAGAAAATCGAAAAGTTCAAGCTTTTGATTTGTGTTTGTGTCTCCAATCACAATCAAACGCTATGATTTGATTGAGCAAAACAGTGTGATTTTATTTTCAACCATACATAATAAAAATTTTTAAATGTGGTTGCTGTAAAATAATTTTAATTATTACATTGCCATGACTATTATATTGCCAAAAATACACAGCAATATTTTCTCAGTGAAATTTAAATGATATTTAATGATAAAAAACGACCATGTTTTACTCAGTTGTACCTGTTGACGGTGGTTGGTCGCAGTGGTCAACTTGGACAACCTGTACTGCGACATGTGGTGGAGGCCAACAAGATAGATTAAGATTCTGTTCAAACCCTGCACCTAAACATGATGGTAAATTGTGCTTGGGCAATCCAATAGAAGCTCGTGATTGCAACACTCAATTATGTCCAGGTAAAAATAATCGTTAAAAGAAATATGTACATTCATTCTTCATGACAGAGAAAAGAAATGAGTTTAAAAAAGAAACAAAACGAAAACGAACAACACCTCTTAGAGCAACAACCAAAAGCATTGTCATTGAGTTTCTGCTCTGCACAGGTCTGATTGTCTGTTTTAAAAACAGAGTGTTTACAACCCTTTCAAAATAATATTGTTGTAAAAATGCCATTCTACAACCTAATAGCTTGCAGCAGCCTAATAATGTTTCTGTGCAATTTTGTTGGATAATAAATTACTAATTTTTGTAGATAGTTCTAAAGAAATGTTGCTTGCGCAGATTTAAAGTAATGCGAAATATTTGTAACAAATTGAAAAGAAACAATAAAGTCAAACATTGTAGATGCCATGTGCCGTGTTACAGCTGTATAAAGTTACCCGTAATCACCTCAGTGTTGTTATATATTTCTGGTTCTTTGGAATCATTGGGCATTGAACATTGAATACCGATTAAGACGGTGCTAGGTAGAGTGAGAGGTGTTGCATTTTTATGAACTGACTCATTCAATTAGAGTCTGCAATTTTTATATAATATTGATGTTTTCATTGCATCCAAGGGATCACCTTTTTCTAGATTTTTATGCTGACATAATGTTTTTTTTATGTCAGATATTGATGAATGTCAAATAATGCCTGATGCATGTGAAAATGGTGGCACGTGTCGAAACACACTTGTTGGTTATGACTGCGACTGTTACCCTGGATACATCGGAGATAGATGTGAAACAGGTAAAATATGAAATATATGTACCTAGTTAAAGACAAGCGTGGTTTCATACTACCGGTAAGAGACAAAAACCATCGTATCTTACTGAACAAACCAAGACCAAAGCGTTAGATGAAAAAAGAACACAATTTTCCTCTTTTCTTTAAAGATGGTGAAGCAAAAAGCGTAGAAATGCCTATAACATTGCAAAAGTCCGATAGGTAGACAAAACACTGATTATTTTTACTTAGTTGTCTGATTCTTCAATATCAGAACTGAAATTATTTTCTAGACATTGAATTCATTTTCTATTTGCTTTCTCGCTTTTTATTTTACTCAATTCGACATGTAAAATATCAATCGTCTAAATTAATGCCACCTTGGAAATTGTCGGTTAATCATAAATATTTCATAACCGTGGAAGTATGATTTGTTTTAACCATAAAAAATCCACTGAATTTTTACAAAGTGGAAAATGTCAATCCATGTATTTTAAGTAACCCTCGAAAATGTCTATCATCTGATATTTTGAAAAAAAATCTTACCAAATTTGTGTAAGTAAATAAAGTATTTTTTTGTGACGAGAGTGCTTGCTCTGTGATAACATTTCATTAACGGTTATGTCCGCATAAGAACAATTATATCTCATATGTTTATGTGCTGAAATATAATATATTTTGTTGTATTTTCTTGTCTAGTTGTGGATCGTTGTGCTTCAAATCCATGTAAGAATGGTGCTTCTTGTACCGGAAGTCAAACTAAACTTTGCGTCTGCACTTCCGGTTGGAGTGGAGATACTTGCGAAGATGGTAAGTCTTAAGACTTAACTATTCAAAAGTGTTCTTTATGTTGTATTTAAAAATAAATTTTTGATAATGATATGATTGTTGTTTGGACAACAATTGTTAGCGCAAAAATACATACATATTCGTTCATCACTCCTAACAACTAATCATTCTTATGTAAATCACAGATGAGGATGAATGTGGACGTGTTCCTAACATCTGCAAGTTTAACGGAACGTGTATCAACGAGTTTGGATCATTTAAATGTGATTGCGTACCAGGGCGAAAAGGGACAACGTGCAACGAAGGTATTTATAATAAGTTTATATACGTAAATTTACGAAACTTCTTTGCAATGTTATGATAATAGGCATACAAAGTAATACACCAATATTCATGATTGAATTAAAAACATAAAAATAGATATATTATCAAACTAATTCAATGCATCATATTAAGTTACCGATTTTTAAAAGGACTTTCTAATTTTTACCTTTTCAAGTATTTAATGATCTTTTATTTTGACTCTAAATAAAAGTAAGATATATCAGTAATCGAAAGGGTTTGGTATTAATTCTCTACATCTTTATGTAATTCTATGATACTTATCAATTCTTCAATAACTTTGATTATACTAAATATGTTTCCATTCACTATGGCCTTGATTGCGAATGTAAAATAAGAAATATGCAATCTGACTAAAGTTCAGATCTACCAATTTCTTACATGTATCGTAGCGTTATTTAAGAGCTATTTTAATCAGATTGAGAAATATGTATCAGTCTTCAAAAATATATATATGCTGGACTTTCATTGTCTAATAACTACAGTATTGTTTAATTTCATGCCTTTACTTTTGCTTGTAAGTTTGATATTATCTATTAATTTCCTAGTAACAGATATTGTTGCAAAGAGTAATACGACTGCGATTAGTAGCATTTAAAGTCGTTTACTTTTCTACATTACAGGTATAGATGAATGCATAACAATAAGCCCATGTCAAAATAATGCCCGCTGTCTGGACACAGATTATTCATACACTTGCGTATGTAAGAACGGCTGGATTGGCAAAAATTGCACAGAAGGTATGATATAGTTAGAAAACGATGAACAACTGGCTTCGGCTTGATTATATATTCAAACGATAGTATTATTAAACCGAAACTTAGAATATAGTTCTGCTGTTCTATATATGTCAATGAAAATGTTTTATGCAGTAGATATCTCATTTTGACGATTCATTATATCTCATGAACGGAATGACTAAAACCGTATTTTTAGTTATCATTTTTGTTTGTTTTCATTGAATTTGTTGAAAACTCCAGTATTTTTCCTTTTATAAAAAATCATATATTCGTATTGCTTTTGAATATTGTAGACTTTACTGCTGTAAGACCATTGTAATGCATGTCCTTATGTACAGCATTAGACCAGCTCGTTTAACGGAACGTGTATCAATGAGTTTGGATCATTTAAATGGGATTGCGTGCGAGGGCGAAAATTATAATGTTATAATGTTATTTATAATGTTATGTTTACAAAATTCAAGATTTTATTCTTTCATCAGGTATATAATATGCATTTGATGAGAACATAAAAGATAACATAAATACAAGTTGCTGCGGTTGTGTGAGATGTCAAAATATTCACTTATCTGTTTTAGATGATGATGAATGTAGTCGAGACATATGTGAGAATGGTGGGACCTGTAGAAACACGGTCGGAAGCTTTGAATGTACTTGTCCGTCTGGATGGACTGGGCCAACATGCGATCTCAGTATGTTAACATGATAAAAGATTTTGAAAATAACTTTGAAAATATTTGTCGTAAATCTTTAGCGAAAACGTAAACTTTTTGAAAAAAACAAAACAAACAAAACATGAATTAAAACATTTTTGGAAAATTAATGTTTTAGATAAACGATTTTGATAAAACTTTGCTGTATAGTTAATAAAATCTTTGACAGAAGTTTGAGATAGAGCTGTCAAAACAAATGATAATACAATATTAGAAAATCACGTTTTAAAAGTAAAAAAATATCAGTATGTAACTTCTAAAATAAGAATCTAAATTTTGTTTGGACAACTCAAATATATCTGGGTTGCACCAGACAAACATATTCTGAAGTCTGAGTTAGTTATTGATGGACAAACTGTTTCTAGTGATACGGACAATCAAAACCAAACTGAAACCAACCTGATTAAAATTAGTTACTGAATAAAACCACGTGTGTATGAACATAGGTCTCAACGTTTGTCAGAATGATTCATAACTGTCTTGGCACTAGTACCTAACGCAATTTGTGTTTTTGCAGGATACAATGAATGCAAAGGAGTTAACCCATGTTTAAATGATGGCCTTTGTGTTGATACAACCACAGATTTTCAGTGTCTTTGTAAACCGGAATATACTGGCAAATTTTGTGAAACTGGTAAGTTTACCAAATGGCCTTGACCGAGAAATGATGAAATTGCAAAATATATCATGCAGGAAAAATTAAACTCTTGATCAGGTCTTACTAATAGATGATGTCTATATGTAGCTGAAATTTGATATGATTATAAATGTGTATTGTCAACCTTAACCCTTTATCCAATACAATTATATGAAGTACTAAGTTACTTCTATGATTACTAAAGCCATTTGCTTTTAACTCTACAAGTCATTTTCTTATATCCATAGTTTTGCATTATATATTTGAAAGAAGGAATTTTCGTAAAAGTGTACTTTTTTCCGGAAACAATGATGAGCCGTCCAATAGTTGCGGATTGACCAAAGCGCTTTGTTACAGCAATATAACACATAGCTCTAGATAGGATTGACCAGTGAAATAGGCTTAAAGCGCTTTGTTTAAATTGTTACGGCAATATAACACATAACCCTAGATGACAAGATAGCAAGCATTTGAGTTTTAGCCACTAAAAATGATCTGTCCTTTCACTTTTTGTTCGTTAATCTAATATCGCGCTTTTCGTTTTCCCTTATAGATGTCGACGAGTGTGAAAAAGATTCAACCATATGTAATGGTCACGGGTTATGTGAGAACCTAGTGGGGGGATTCGAATGTATCTGTGAATTAGAATGGGAAGGAGAGAGATGTGATATTGGTACGTAAAATGCTAGTTATTAAATGTCATGAAATACGCTAGACATTGTATCTTGCTTTAGTTCTTAAACAAGCTATATAATTAGTAGAATCTTTTTAATAAAGTTTTGTGTTGCTTTTCCTACTTGTCATGATAAAGTATTTCTTATTTGTTATGAAATATAAATTGTAATTTTACATTTTAGACAAACGAGCTATATGTTTGGTCCAAATGTTTTGTATTTTGCGTTATTGTTTCCTACTCGGAATGATTAAGTACTGTTTTCTTGAATTATGCCTTATCAATTAATAAATAAAATTGAATAATCATTAAAAGTAATATTATAAAGCCCATACTAGAACATGTTTCTGTTCATTGCACAGATAAATGTGAAATGTCAAGGGTGATGGAAGCACTTTATAGTACACCAGCACAATCTGTTAATTTATAAGCGAGATCGTTAGTAACTAACTCAGTCTTACGGATGGCATTTTATATGCTACTTATAACATATAAACATAATTTATTCTTATTTAATAAGATCACAACGAATGCTCAGATGTTGATCTTGGCCAACTTTGCTTTAACAACGGCGAATGTATCAACCAGTGGGGATCTTATAAATGTAATTGTGCAAAAGGCTGGACTGGAGTGGACTGCATGACAGGTATACTGCAATATATAATGTTTACTTTTAACAAGTTATTTAAATGTTTAGACATGTTTGATTAACATGAATTCAGAAAGTGTATAGATGTAAAAAGGGACACAAACATCTAATTCTGTATTGGTAGACAACGAACAGGTAAAAAGTCAATACACTTAGTTATGCATGTGTAAGATGTTTGATCCAGTTACAATTTAACTTCAAGTTAAGGCCCATTATGCCAAATTTTAAATGCTTTTATTTTTGATATCCAGTTATATTTTTCAAAAGATTACTCAATGGCCAGTTACCTGAGCCATCTTTACTTCTGTTGCTTTTTTTGCAATAAGTACATTCATAGTGATTTAGTATTTTGTACTATTTGTTTATATTTTCTACTTTTATGAAGAATAAATTTTTTACATTTCACTCTTAGTCTATTAACTAAATATTATAAAACTAAAGTTTGCCCTTTGTACAGAAGGAAATATTTATACATTTCTAAAGTTTTATGTGCCTTCAAGTTAAATCAAACTTTCAAGTCTGAAAATATGAAGATATTTCATTTCTTTAAAATTTAAAGTACAGTATTGTAAACCAACAAATTGGCTCTATGTCTGACTCTTATGCAAGGGATCCTGCATTCAGGTCCTATGGTCCCACCTTCATTTTTGCATTCTTTTAAATTAAATCGTTAGAAATATTTTAAGCTGAATCCTGATGTTTGAAGCCCCTGTTAATTAAAATATAATTCATATACTTGGGAGAATTTAGTTTTATTTTCCATTTTGATTGCTTCACTAGGTTATTCAAGTCAAGTATCAATATTGCATGCTATCATTTATTTTCAGATATAAACGAATGTGCAGATACTCCGTCTATTTGTTTACATAATGGAACATGTACAGACACAGATGGTGGATATACATGCAAATGTTCTTCTGGGTGGACAGGGGATCGCTGCCAAATAGGTTCGAATGAAAAGAATTATGTACATCATACAAACTGCACGCACAATGGGGAGGGAAATCATACGTTTTACATAAATCAATTCATTTTATCAATAAATTTCACAATGCTCAAATTGTTGAGCATGATCATGCAATTTGTAATTATCGCCACTATAACGTTGAATTGTAAGTAATTATCTTAACAAAGTTTAATGAGGTAAAAAGTTTAACTCAAAGTCTTAAAATATAATGTGATAATATAAATTACGCTTGGTAAAAAAGTATAATAAAATTTGAAATCAAATAATTTACAAAAGAATACTCAAATAATAATAATAATAATAATAATAATAATAATAATAATAATAACTAAGCCCGATATGAAAGATAGAAGCAAACTTAGAACAATACTATAAGATGTATCTTTTTTCTGGAACAAGCGATTTAATAAAAAAAAATCTGGTTTGTTACTCTCTGATTTTTCTTGTGTTTGATTAACGGAATTATACAGTTTTCGTTGCCGGTTATATAAATGCGCGAATGAGAGAATGAAAAATATGTATAATCGTAAATGGTTTTTTTTGTACTAGAACTTAACTGATAATTTTCCGTTTATAGACGTAGATGAATGCAACACTACATTTCCATGTCAAAACAATGCTACCTGCACGAACAAAGTGGGCTCGTTCCTTTGCATGTGTACCTCCGGGTGGAAAGGATTGCTGTGCACCATAGGTAATAAACATATAAATTTTGTCGAGCTACAACAGAAGGGAAGAAAAAACAAAATCTATGATTTTTTTAAAATTTCTAATTAGTATTCAACTTTTGTAACTATGTCTTTTCTTTCTAAATGTATGATTTGTCTTTCCTGTCCCATTAGATGATTTGTCTTTTCTTTCCATTTGGTTGATTTGAACATAAATATCACAAAGAGCATCAATTTCCCACTTATATCATCAAAGATCTCATTTTTCCCCTCCAAAATTGGATTGTTTTAAGTAAAAATATCTATTTACATTGTGGATAAATAAATTTTCCATATTGATGTCAAGTTTTTTCTGTTCCTAAGGCTTTGTAAATTTATAGTATTTTGTTTGGAAATGAAATTTTTTATCACATGATAAAGCATGACTTTCCAACAAATTTCTTCTTATACATAAAATTCGAAGTTAATTTCTACAAATTCATACTCTTCAAAATGTTACATTACGACGTTGCAGACAGGAACGAGTGTGTAGAAACTCCGGGTATATGCAGGAATGGAGGCACGTGCTATGATGAAGAGGGTGATTACAGATGCGTGTGTCCAGCTGGGCGGGGAGGCAAGAACTGTGACTATAGTAAGTTTGACTTTTATTAATGTAATTGCATTTTCACGATCGGTGTAAAATATCCATACAACAAGTTTAGCTTTATTCGTTACAGAGCATATATTTGTTCTTAACATATATCTAGTTAATGAAAATATAAGGAAGGAAATTGATATTCCACATCTTTAAAGACATCTTGGCGGTTAACATATTTCTGCACAAAGGTTTTAAGCAAAGAAAAATATAATTTTTTGCATCATTGCGATTTGCTTATAAATTACATGTAGTCAATTTATTTCTTTTGGAAGATCTAGTTTATGTTCATGAACCTGCCAGAAAAGTAATATGCACAAGCGTTATACAAGACCTTTCATTGTTTGGCATTTGGTCTTGACAACCTCTTTCACTTTATTTAAGGAAAATTAATATTTAAGTATACATTTTCTTTTCAGGCACGGATCCATGCAATGACATCGTGTGTGCTCACGGAGGAACCTGTTACATAGATTCAAACGGGGATGCTAAGTGTGATTGCACGGCGCTTTTTCAAGGAGATCGTTGCGAAGAAGGTTTTGCTTTATTTAATTTGAATAACAATGCCTCTGATATTTTGACATATTTACTCCTTACATATACATATCAATACATTTCAAGAAAAGAAAGGCTGGCGGTAGCTAGTATACTCATATTACCGCAAGCGAATAAAGTAACGCATAGGGTGACAGACGTGGTCTACCAACATCGAAAGAATTAACTCGCAAAGTGTAGTTGATAATGTCAGTGTAGCCAACCAAACAAAGTTACAATTTATTATCTAATTCCTTTATAATATTTTGAAGTTCGAAAGAACGTGGTTAAAATGTATCTGATTTATTAGCGTTTGTTGCGATGTTTTGTTTGCAGTAACAGTTTTGAGTATATATTACCTAGTACATGTTTCAAATATTACTTCTCTGAAATGAACAAATATTTATAACAGTTGAATAGAAGGCCACTTTGATTTAAACTGTTATTTCTGTTATATGCCGTCGTTTCCGTGTGCAAGAAACTACACTCGTTGCTTAGTCCTAATATAATTGGATCTATAAACAGATTTGAGAGTGTTTCAATAATCTTGTATAGCTTCTAACTTAATCAAACTAAAATGAATGATTTTAAACTAAAACTGTTATTTTTTGCTATGTAAGTCTATAAGTATTATGTTTGATAAACTTGGATTTTAATATACATTAGTTAGTTAAACGAAAACGACCATGAAAAGAGAAACTAAAATGTTTCCTCCCAATTTTCAGATTTTGACGAATGCACTTTGAACCCTTGCTCTGAAAATGGTACATGTCAAAATCTACCAGGAACTTTCTACTGTGATTGTGACGTTGGATATATTGGTGACTATTGTGATATAGGTATGTATTTACTTCTGTTAATTTTACTTTTTAATGTTTTTTTTTTCGTTTTTGCTTTTTGCTTTTGGTTTTGTTGGGTTTTTCGTCTCACTATATATATATAAAACACAGCTTTACTGGTGGAGGAAGATCCCAGGTGGCCCTCTTTACATTATTTCAGACACAAACAGTACCTGAGCATGACCACGGACGTTCGATGAGCTTGCTTGATAGCTTTCTCACATATAAAATCCTACGACGAAATCGCGACTAGAGCCTACAGAGGCAATTGATTTAAAGTCATTTAAAAGCATGACCGAGTAGTTAACGCGTCGGACTAGTAATCTATAGAACTAGTAGTCAGGATTGCTGGCCGGGTGGGTTCAAATCCTAAGAGGGGCTAGACGCTGTTTCCGTGAGCAAGAAACTTCATCCTCATTGCTTAGTACTGTTTGGTTACAGGAACGGATTCGAAAGTGTTTCAATAAGATTATAGCTTCGAACAATACCGAACTAATATAAAGTCGTATTAACTAAAATCATAACAATCATGAATGGTTTATTTCTTATTTTAGATGAAGATGAATGCAAGTATTACCCGTGTGTGAACGGTGTTTGTGTTAATACACCAGGGTCATACCACTGCGATTGTCCTGGATGGACCGGACCTTCTTGCAATATTGGTAAGGCAAACTACAGACGGGTCCACAACAATCTCATGATGATTTTTTTGTGTAATAATTGTCATTATTGTGACATTGGGTTCAATTTTATATTCAACTTTGCAAAATTATTCAATTATCTGCCTGAACCCAAATATTTTTATAACATATTGTTCGAAATGTATTGGTGACATTCAAATTAAAAAGAGTGAGCCATCTTTTTATAATTTAGGTAGTTTTTATACCTTGCCCTTTTCATTTTCATTATCCATTATTGCACAATCACCATTATAAAAGTCGATCTCGTGAAATATACTCAATTTCGCATGACAGCGATAAAAGCATAATGTCACTTATATCTTGAAAATTTATAAAAATTTGACTTGTTTGTTACTTAAAGTATAAATGAGCTTGTCACGACAAAACCAACATAATGGGTTTGCGACCAGCATGGATCCAGACCAGCCTGCGCATCCGCGCAGTCTGATCAGGATCCATGCTGTTCGCTTACAAACCCTATAGCAAGTAGAGAAACTGATAGCGAACAGCATGGATCCTGATCAGACTGCGCGGATGCGCAGGCTGGTCTGGATCCATGCTGGTCGCAAACCAACTATGTTGGTTTTGTCGTGACGTGGCTCAAATATTTCTATTTAGTGGATAATTGACCTTGAATTTTACAGCGCTGCCAAATGTAATTGAAATGTGTTTATTGTAACAATTTATTAATAAAATAATCATAAAAGTTTCTTATCAAATTATAGATATATCAGAGTGTTCATTGTTGAAAAATCCATGCAATGGTAACGGCAGGTGTCAGGAGACTCCTGGGTCTTACAGATGTTTTTGTTTCTTTGGTTACGAGGGACAATTCTGTCAGAATGGTACGTTTTGTTTTAACAAGGATCTTCAGTTTTGAAAATCCTGGTTATTAGATTTTTTATGTGATAATTTACTTATCTTTTTAGCTATGACCTCCATGACTTAGTGAGTTTGGTTGCTGAATCCAAATCACTTGCCCCCTTCCACTGGTGGACTTCAAAACCAGCCAGGGAGTTTGAAAATGTTCACGTGAGACAGCTTTTCAACAAGGAAAGTCGTTGTTTCTAATTAGGCGTCCGATAATGTCTAAAATTAAATACAAAGGGGCAACGAAAGCTCTTCCTTAGCCTCCGTTTTAACTTGATTTCCTTTTTAGAGTTCAAAAATCCATATCAAATCTAAATATATTGCATTGGAAGCTGCATTTTTTTTTTCAAAATGTAAAAAGTTGATGTTGTTAAATAAAGAAGTTATTGCACATTGTGGAATACAATACAGATTCTATTTGACTCTAACACTACCTACTGCAAAATATATATTTTGACTCGGTTAGCGCCTCATCCGTTATACGTTTGACAGCTGTACACTCGTCAAATAGAAAACTGTATTGTATTCAACACTGTATAATAACCGCATGATATATTGACAATTGATGTGAGATTCTTTTTATCACTGTACTAAACACATGAAATTACTGAAAATCAACCTGTTTTCACATTTTACGCGCAATGCCATAATTCCGTGTGTAAATAAAGAACTACAACTACGTAATAGTTATATAACATAAAACAAGCGACGTTATGACATGATATGAGGTTATTATACATTGGAGTACAATACAATACTTATTCAAATATTTAAATGAACGAGTAAACAGATGTCAAACCTATCTTGGACGAGGTGTTATATTTTGATAGTTTGTCATAATATTGCTGCTTAGAGTACAATATGTATTTGATATGGAGTTACGGACTGCGGAATGAAAAGGAGGCTAAATTGATAAGATTTGGTCAGAAATTAATTGTATTAAAAATAATACTGTTCACACGCTGAAAGGTCATTGGTTACTTTTAAAATTTATTTTCCACTACAGTCACTGCAGTGAAACGTGTTTTCCGTATATTCTCTGGTGTCTTGCTGTACTACTTTCTTCTAAATTCAGCCAATAACTTAAGGGAAAGTATTTGGTTTAAACATATTTTATTCGATATATTTACATTCTGATGAACAATATTTACACAATACATTTGGGATTGGACAGAAAGCTATGAAAGCTTATGAGTGTCCTGTCCCAGTTTAAACAATTTACATATATACAGTTCATGGCATTATCATGCACAAAATTCATTTGGTTGAAAATATATCAAAGACATTTTCAAAAAATATGTATTTTGCAATTAATAAATACATGTACTAAATAAATGGTCATGAGAAAAAAAAGCAAAAGAAAAATGAAATAAAATTTTTCAAATCGTAATGTAAAAAAGAGAAAAATGTATATAATAAACAGAAAATTCAAGATTTTTTTTTATAAATACAGGATTTATTTTCATCTTGTTGTATGAAAAAAAAAATCATATTTCACTCGTAGCTTCTGCCACTCATGAAATATTTATTTTCATACCAGTCTATTTATTTCAGACGTCAATGAATGTAAAGAAGAAGATCATTGTAAGAATGGCGGAGTCTGCTGGAATTTACCCGGAGGATACATGTGCAACTGTACCCAGTACTGGACCGGTCCATATTGTGATATTGGTATACAAGATATTCATTTGTATATTATTCGGTACAGAATTAATGGCTAGATAAGAAAGCGACGGTCGCAGATGCGGCTGAAGTATTTCATTTTATCTTGTTAAACCGAGTTCTAAAACTTAAGTTAATAATTGAGATATGTATTTCAGTCTTTTTGTAAAGACACTTAGTTTGTGCAGGTAGTTGGTACTAGCATTATTTGATAAGATAAATCATTCTTTTATGAAATTCAGTTACAATTGTTTCTCTGAATTTGATAATCCAAACGAGTAATTCTCTGACCAAAATATGAAGAAAATACAATTATATCTAAATAATGGTCGAAAAATAATATGTATTTAACATGAATCACAGTTTTATATTGGCAAATTTGAGTTATAAATTACAGATTTAAATGAATGTACAACATTATCGGCACCATGTCTTAACGGCGGAACTTGCAAGAATAGAGATCTCGGATATGATTGTACATGTCCGTCACAATGGAGGGGCCTCACCTGTAATGAAGGTACAGATGTTTTAACCTAGTCTTGTCTTATCTTGTCATGCCAGCTAGGTTAAAAATAAACATGTTTATTCCGCATGCTTAGTCATGCCATCCGTTTCACAAGACATTTTATAATTGGTTATTTGACGAAAGCAAGAGTAAATAGCCTTGCCACCAGTAAAGAGCCGGTCACTCTGCATATCAGATCGATAATAATGTAATCATTTGTACTGTTTGTCTAAACTGTTTGTTATATGATTTAGTTTATTAGTCATTATCTTCTCTCATGTATGAAATCCTGTTTCAACTTAGATCAATCCGTTTTGTATGGAAGCATTGGGAGGGTCACTTTTGAGTTTCGACTTACGGATATTTTACTTTTGACTTTCGACTTTTGACTTTTGATTTGTGACTTACGTCTTATGACTTTTTGCTAACCCATTTTACATGTGCTCTAGAAGCTGAAAGCAGCAACTTTGGTTTCAGGTATGTTTTTAAACGTTTTAAATAATTTCATTCAGATTTGTCATGGAGGAGAGGATGTGTTAAGGAGGGAATTTAATCTTATTTGATATAATCCCATAGTGGTAACATATCACAGACTTTAATTCCACAAGTGTGGCTGTGTGTTTTGTACAATCTTCTATGTTTTTAATATGTTCATCATACTAGTATTAGTGCTTATACATTTTTTGTCCTCATCAGTAAATCTGTTCATGAGTAACAAACAAATAACTGTTTTACAAGTAGACAGGGAATACAAGTTTTACGTCTTAAAATGGCATGGTGCACAATATTAAACATGTATCGCAATTCAGCATTTTATTGAGCTAACACGGAATTAGTAAAGAACGGCAAGTGCAATGTTCATACACAAAAGTACAAAGTTAACTTAAAATTGTAATCGAGCACCATTTGTATTTAGCATATGTCTAATTTTGTTGTATATTTTAACAATTGAGAAAAGAACACTTAAGAATAAACGTTAGAACAAAAGATCCTACTAGCATTTAAATATTTTTTTTTCGCACTTATCAATCTTAAAAAATCGGAGCTAAGAGATTTACCCATTTTATATAGTATGAATGTATAACGATTTAGATAAAAGATAAACCCTTATTTCAGACACAACTACTGGACAAAAGGTAACGAGGATGAAAACCTTGATGTTGATCTGTGTCTTCATCATTATACTGTTCATCATTACCAAAGCTACCGTGCCAAGATACCTACCCACAATCTCTATAACTAACAAAACTCTGCTGATAATAGAGTACTTTCCGGTACAGCATGGCATTACAACGTCATTTAGTACAGTGAATAGACTTTTTAAACTCTTAAATTTAAAACGGCGTAATGGAATATATACTCCTTTTGAGACTGTGTCTGATGTTATAAACAGAGAAATACAAACAAATGGACAACGCATAGAATACCGTACAATATGGTGTAGGTTAATGCTGAATAACCACATGTACGTCAAGGGAGACGACGTCATGGAAATAATGGGAGCGCTTGAACCGGATGGTATTGAGATGCGGAAAGCTCATCGCTTATGCCGACGCGTATACTACGCCATGACATATGGACGGTTAAGACAAACTTAAACCATAAGGATTTTATATCCATGGTGCTGTGAATGGGTATAAACATGGTTAGAGGTTTTGGACTCAAATAGCGACCCAAAGACTTAAGCGATATTTGTGTGTATCTAATGATCTGCATCCGATACAATGTGAGAACTTAAAATTTTGCTTCATGGACCTCATACAAACCGAGTTTGATCGGATTGCACATGAAATAAGGCAACAAAAAAGTTTTTTCTGTTATTTGTGGTAAACCTGACACACTGTTTTTTGTATCAGGTCTGTATGAAACTCACGACTTCGGCAATGCAGTTAACTTGAGAGACGTATATATTTGCAAAGAACATGTTTTCACGCCCAAAAAGACAATGTGAGGAATTCATAGAATCAGCACCCCTTCTTAAGGCAGATCTACAGATGCCATTGGACGCTGATTCAGCGCTACAACTGTGTTACGAGTTGAAAGATTTAATTTTGAGATTAGATTTAATATAAATACGCTTTGAAACGACTAATACTGATTTTTTTCGTGTTATTGATATATACTAGGTTACTATAGGTTAAGTTTAAAAAAATGATGTTTTAAAATCAAAAAGACGATAGTCTACGATTTCACTTCATTATATGGTTATTTTAAGATATTGGTTTGTAAATATTGAGCAAATTACAACATATTTGTAAATTATCATTTCAGTTATAAACACTATAATTTGCACTATAAGGCATTGTAAAATTGACAAAAAGGACACCTGTATGCAAAATTTAAGCAAAATTTACCGCACGGATTTGGAGTTGTAGGCATTATTATGACTCAGAACATATACATTAAAAAGGCTTTTTAAAAGATATACATGTATTGAAAGTCTAAAAAAAATATCCGAGTAATCTCATTTAAACATGTTTTGCAAGTGTTGTTTGTTTAGATGCAAAAAATAACATTCTAGTAATAAACTATGCATGTTAAATGCATGACTATTCTCGACACGATAGAAATATGCATGGTATTGTTTCTCTACCTCACCAATTTGAACATTTTTTATCATTTCCTTCTAAACTTAAAAAATTCAAGTCAAAGGGCTTGTATCAATTTGCTAAATTCTTTCTACAAGTATATTGATTCACTCTGTGAAATATGGACGGCTTTTACCGGCTAGTTTGTAATATATAAAACATTGAAAATGTTATAATTGTAATTTGCTCTTAGATTTTTTTAGCATTAATTAGGCAATGAGTATCTTTAGAAAAAAATTATAATAATAGAAAACGTGCATATTTTTCTATCTTAATATAGCTAAAGAAATCTAAACACATTTATTGTACAAGTTTATCGTCCTTTTAAAGATTTCCAACTCAGCAGCCTGTAAATACTAATTTGTAAAGTTTTTACATCACAATATATGTATGTGCAATTTTGTGACTTTGTACGTTAAATACATGCTGTATTTCTTCTTTTGTTTTTGGCATACGTATTACGAGATTAACTGCACTATATGAATCGACTTCTGGTTGTATCTCTTCTATCAAGCCCTGGTTACAAAAAAAGGCTGCCCCACTAGGGATAGATCCTCGGTCTCCGCCTGACTGGCAGGGACACTTTTCTACTATGCCAAATGTCACAGGGGGAGAAAAGATATGCAGCCATACCGGGATTCGAACCCGGAACCCCTTACAGGGCTAGCTCTGTCCCCACCGAGATTGCATATTATGTACTGAATAAATTCGTACCGTGACATATAAGTTATACGTGTAATTTCAAGTATGTGTAATTAGATTCTAACGTCTTATTCATTCACAACAAATAGCAACCATACTTTATAGGATGTATTATGGTATTTAAAAGGAATATAATATGATTGTTATTTCAAAAAAGTAGTAATTGATCTTTGTAGTAAAATGCTGACTTATTTTTCTCGTTAGGTTTTGCCCTAATGACTTTTACTTATGATTTATCACTTTTTACTTATGACTTTTATCTTTTTGACTTATAACTATTGGCATTTTGCTGTTACTCTTTGCCTTTTGTATAAACATTAGTTTTACTTGATTTTAGATTAATGCAAAATAAGCAAATTTGTGATACAATCACCAAACGCAAGGGAGGACATCAGCCGAGAGTGGTGTTGAAGTCATATGATGTTTAAAATTAGAATTATTGCATTCATATGTTTTTACCATATTTTGATCGTTCTTACGTGAAGAGAATCAACACCAATTGTTAATGTGAAATCATACATGTATGTATAGAAGTTTGAATTCGGGACATTCATTTATACATGCCGTCTTAAAGTAAATAAACTATTCTTGATAAATAACGAATTTTTTTATTCAGATAAAACAGTTTCTTAGCTATTTTCTAGATGTGTACCTTTATTACAAATTTTTATTAACATTTTACATCTTGAAATAGATTATTTAATTTTACTTGTTGAAGTTAGTTCACGGTTGACTGGTATGCTATTTTTCCGTGTTGACTATTAAAGAGGGTACAAGCGTTAGGCATTATAATACATTAAAATAAAGGAGATATATGTACGGAATAATATGTAGTAGTAGCTTTTTAAGGCTTTGTATTTTGCTACAAAGCAGTGATGGAAAATTGATATCTCGCGAGACCGAAGGTCGAGTGAGATATCAATCTTCCAATGTTGCAAGTAGTAAAATACATAGCCTCAGAAAGCTACTACAACATAATTTTTACTTTTGTTATATACCTTTTCGTTTTTAGCAAAAAATGATTTTCATTAAACTACACTTCTATAAGAAATTTCAGAAAATAGAAAAAATAAATTTATGACTGACGGATGAATACGTAATTTATGCAAAACCGGCGACGCCTCTTATAATTTTGGTTTCCGTTTTCTAATGCTATGTAAGACACAGCCTAAGATCAATGTCAAAAATATCCGGCATTTCCATAATTATATGGTTCCGTATTTGTCACTAACATAATACGGAATTTTCTATCCGTTGGAAAATTTATAGGGTATAAAATAAGAATTTAAGAAAACGGTTTTGACACAAATTGACTTGAACTCTCGTGATTTCTACTTCAACTTTGTACTTATTTACATTATCATATTAAATCTGGTCCTGAATGATAAAAAGACATTTTCTCAATTTGTTGACATTTATTATTGTGTTATAGTAACTTTGTTATAACCAAAATAGACTTGCAATTTCCAACACGGAATAAACAGTATTTAAATGTTACAGAGAATTTATTTAATCTATGTTTAGAGATAGTGATAAGTAAGAGGTTGAAATGAGCAAAGTAAAATAGAATAGAATCACTATAGAAGTAAAGCTGTGTGGAAACTAGCCAACTTCTCTAAACAGACTACTCTAAATATACCTCTACCGCAGAGACCACACTACCAAAGGCTTTTACCTTCACGGTCTTGACCGTGACAAGTTGGCAGAGCTATCAATAATTGTTTGGAATAAATATGTTTAAACAGATAACACAAACAACATTTTTTATTCTACAACCGTTACTTTAATTTGTGTTTAACAAAAGGTGTTGTGTCTTACTAAGAAAACAAAAAATGTATTAGATAGGAAAAACAAACTGAATTTGAGCTTCAATTATATTCAATTTTAAAAACAGAGATAAGAACTACAGAAGTATTTTTTTTCTAAAATAGCACACATGCCTACTTAAAAGCTAACACTATAGAACAGCTAAAAATAAAACATTGCCATCCAACAAAAACATCAAGTATTTATGTCACAGAAGACATATATACATGCAATATGTCTACAAAACAACACATGTTGAGTACGTTACTGAGATGAAAAACTAAGAAAAGAATCATGAGTTGGATCTAAGGAAGCTTTTGAAAAACATAACATAAAAATAAATTAGGTTAACTAGCAACGCTAGAGTGACTTTTATTGTTATTGAAGTCAAGATTTTTTAAATCATTGTCGTTCAAAAGAGAAGAAAAACAAACACAGTCTCTAGCTAAAATTTCCTAGTTAACTTTAAAGAAAACTGTATACATTCGTATAATGTGTATATTTAATAACGTCCAACAAGTTGTTTGTTTGTTTTTTTTGTTTTTGTTTTTTTTCGAAGAATAACCGACTTTATTATGTAATGTATAAATATCATAGTCCTTTCTTAATGACATACCTTAACCCACAGCAGCATGTCGAGAAAGGGAATGTGTTTAACTTAGAAGAACTATTAGAAATGTTATAATTTTAAATTGTTAACAACACAAATGCACTCCTGTCTCGGCAAGGTAAAATTCAAGTTGATGCCTCCAACAGTTCTTTGAGATAATTATGAGTTTAACCAAAATCAAAGTATGAAAAAAAGAGAGAAAAACAATCATCTAAAGGGGACTTTTTCTAAAATGTAGCTATGATAGCAAGAAGTATGTTTTCTTTCTGCCTCGCCAAGCTATATGAACATGCAAATTTGATTTCGATACCTTTCTTTTAAGTTTTTAAAATTTACAATGGGCAAATACTGAAAATTATGAAAGTCAGGAATTATTGAAATGTGCATTGGATTTTTTCACACCTTTTCCCTGTCCTCATACCTATGAGCCTGTATATGCGAGGTACCAAAGATTTGTAACCCACCATTGGAGGTATTGGAGCATGTATAAAATAAACGTGGGCGGGACGTGACATTTTGCGTATTTCGCAATAGAACTGGTCGGGCAGCGAATAAGTGGTGGGTTAATGAAACTTGAAAATCATCGAGGCGTCTGAAACAGAGTGTGAAATGGTAAGCGCTCGTTATTCCCAACAAATGTCTGAAAATATTTCCATTAGACAAGATAACGAAGAAAGAACCAAATCACTGAGTTGTTTTGTGAACACTTTTGGCATTTTTGCTAAACTGTACTACATTTGTGTAGCTTTTCGCCGCACTCGGAACGGAACGGCTGGTTTGTGGCGCCATGAAACCGTCTTGTGTGCCTTCTAAAAACTGGCTCCGAAAAACTTGACAAAATATGTTTATTGCTGATGCTCTTGCAACTGCTTTGCAGTTGAAACCATTCGACAGCACGTCCTTAATTCCTACAAGTGCTTTAACTAAGAATTTAACTGAAATACATAAAGTATGTGTTATCTCAATTTGAAATGAAATACAAAAAAAATTCCTTAATGACAAATAATGATATACAAAAGTTATATACAAATAAAATGTACTTTGTACTTGGTAGTGTTGACCTAAGTTATTGATACTGATCAAGTGAATAAAAGTTTCAATTAGTTATATCATAACTGGTTTTATGGGACCTGAATGATTTCCATAAACCCATCTGACAAAACATTTTGGCTTTAAAAATGTACTTTGTACTTGGTATGTGACCCTAAGTTATTGATACTGAACAAGTGAATAAAGTTTCAATATTATATCATAACTGTTTATGGGACCATATTTCATAAACCATCTGACAAAACATTATAGCTTTAAAAATGGGCATAAGTATGTCCAGTTGTGCGCCACTCATACGAAACTTGGTCATTGATCTTTCGATGTCAACACTTAATATGTGTTCCAAGTTTCAAAGGAATCGCTAAAATAGTGTTTGAGAAACCATTTTTCATGAAAATTCTAAACAATGAATTCAAAATCGAAAAAAGAGGCAGAATTTGATAACAATGCAATTCAAATCAGAGATTTCTAACTTAGAGCGTGTTCTAAACAAGTGTGTGAAGTTTCAAAGCTGTATGATTTATTGTTTTTGAAAATACCATGTTTCATGAAACTTTCTTAACCACAGATTTCTTCTTTGTCAAAATAAAGGCCTATAATTTGGTCTATATTCAAAAATAAGATGGACGAAGAATGAAGAACTACGGGTGAAAACCGATTGTAACTGCAGCAAACAACAATGCGAGACTGGTTCATATAAAAATAAAGCGTTTGATTCATACGCTGTATGTCAATTTGAGATTATATATCCCTGTTCCGGAAATTTAAAATAAAAAATAGATACCCAATGCAATGCAAAGCAATGCAAGCAAAGTATTTTCTTTTCTTAATCAATTTAAAATGCTTATATAGGAGTAACATTCTGTTCTTGCATATGTGCCCACATATTTTGTTTTTTAATAAGTCTCCAGGAAACTTAGGTAAATGAACTTACCTCGTCAATGTCATATTCTACCATATTTTCCTTGGAAATTATAATTAAAATGGCAAGCACGTGGGAAATAACAAAATCCATAAGTCAAAAACAAAAGTCATAAATCAAAAGTCATAAGAAAATAGTTAAATAAATGTATAAGTCGAAACTCAAAAGTGACCCTCCAAGGCTTCCATAGTTTTGTACCTATTTCATCTTGACTAACAATGACGTCACTCCTGTCTTTCAACAGATGTCGACGAATGCAAAGAGTCGCCTGGGCTGTGTCAGAACGGCGCCAAGTGTATGAACGTACCCGGCTACTTCCGGTGTAATTGTACTGACGGCTATATGGGAGAATATTGTGAAATTGGTTTGTGCCAAAATTATCAACAATACATGATGATATCCAAATTAGTTTGTTCACCGATATTAACCTAAATTAATACTCTTTTATGTGACATATAACTTTATAATAGCTTTGTTTCTTCGAATATTTTGTAGTTGACAAAAACACTTTTTTGAGAAGTACTTGTAGTTAAAAAACAAATGGATGTCATATGTAATGATTCATTTCAAGTTCTGATATATGGAATAGGTATAAATTATTTTGGTTCGGGCGTCTGTGGTTGAATGATTAAAGTAATTGACCTAAAACCATTTGTACCTCATCGTTGTGGGTTCAAATCGTCGCAAAGGCTTTGGATTTTTTTAGTCCCCTACCGGTTTAACCGGAGGGGACTTTAGGATTACCCTCCGTCCGTCTGTCCGTCTGTCTGTCTGTCTGTCCGTCTGTCAGTCGGTCTGTCAGTCTGTCAGTCTCTCCGTCCACAAAACTGGATCCCGCGATAACGCAAAATGTACTGAAAATATTTTAATGAAACTTGATATATGGAAAGATGGCAGTATGGAGATTATGCATGTCTTTTTTTGTATTCCTATGTTGAAAATTCTGGTTGCTATGGCAACAAATAGCCTGAAAATATGGCAAATTGAACACATAAACTGGATCCCGTGATAACGCAAAAAGTACTAAAAATATTTTTATGAAACTTGATATATGGATAGATGGCAGTATGGAGATTATGCACGTCTTTTTGTTTTCTTCCTATGTGGAAAATTCTGGTTGCTATGGCAACAAATAGCCTGAAAATATGGCAAATTGAACACATAAACTAGATCCCGGGATAACGCAAAAAGTACTGAAAATATTTTTATGAAACTTGATATATGGATAGATGGCAGTATGGAGATTATGCACATCTTTTTTTTCTTCCTATGTTGAAAATTCTGGTTGCTATGGCAACAAATAGCCTGAATTTCAAGATTTCTGATTTAAATTTTTCAGCTTTTTCACTATAAGTTCTTCATTTCTTAAGGTGTTTACTTCAAACTTTAAATATAAGTTTCTGGTCATCAACCACATCATATGTGACAAGGTTTGCAACTCTAGCACAAGAATTATCAGTATTTAATCCCTTGAACTTAGAATTTTTATGAAAAAAATGTTGTCTTTTTTAAATAACTTCTTTATTTCCTAATGTATCTACTTCAAACTTCATATATATGTTTCTTATTATCACTCAACATTTTTGAGAAGGTTAAATACTCTAGCAAGACTATTTCCAGAATTATTATCCAAAATCCCCTTCATGGGTGGACATAATCCCCTTCATTCTTTTGCAATGCTGGACAAAATCCCCTTCACTACCCGGACAAAATCCCCTTGTTTCATAGGTTTCTAATTTATTATGATGCTCCATAAAAATTGATGAATAATGTATTATTATACTCCCTAAAATTGATGAATAATGAACTTTTGTTTTTTTTATTTATAATTATGTATCAATAGTTACCTTTATTTAGTTTAGAAGTTTTCATTAAAATTATGGTAAATTATCAACTGCATAACACATATTTGATTAGGCAATTTCTTTAATAGTTTTAAATTGATTAGTATGAGAAACATTTTTATTAGCCAATAATTGTTTCATTGATTGTATAAGTTTATAATTCTAATTGATAGATACTATCCATTGTTACAATTTCACAAAAGAGTGATAATTTAATCAAACCAAGATCACTGCATTACTTGATTGATTGATATGAATGCTTTAACAAATTAATTTTAATGTGATTTAAATGTTGCTAACTGAATGTGCTTTTCTGATGAAATATTTTCTACTCATTTATACATTAAGATATTTACTACACAGCATAATGCAGTATGTGGCTCTCATACCCACTTAAAAAACCTAAAATTCCTCTGAGGGGGATTTTGTCCTAGGTAGCAATTTTATGAAGGGGATTTTGTCCACTTCTAAATTTCACACATGAAGGGGATTATGTCCACCCATGAAGGGGATTATGTCCGGATATACAAAAATACATGAAGGGGATTTTGTCCGAAGGGGATTATGTCCGTACACCCGTTAGTGGTTCTACTAAGAAGCCGTTTGTGCCTGAAATAATGAGCGGAGGGGTACCTCAGGTATTCCTTCAACAGTAAAGCTGGAAGTTTCCATAAGATCTTCCTTGATGGTGTGACGTAATACCAACCTACCTTTTCATTTGTTACCATACCTATTCCGCTATTAATCTTATTTTACTTCTTCGCTTTGTGAAAAAAAGTCATTACTTGAGTTTTAAATGAATTCTTATCCAATCATAGACAAGGATGAATGTTCCACGACAAAGCCATGCATGAACGGAGCGACGTGTACAAATTTTCGAGGAGGCTACGAATGCAAATGCGCGATGGGTTTCCAGGGAAAGAACTGTGACAAAGGTAATATTTCTTTCATTTTAGTGAAACCAATTTGATTGTGACTTGCAATGACCAATACAAAAGTAGCAGGAAAACCCGTTTTTAATGTTAATATAATATTGTTGGTTACAGGATAGAACATTTTCTGCAGATAACGTCGAAACACGAAAATGCGCTTTTTCGGAGACACGTTATTCCTTTGTTATGACTCTTTTATAACAAATAGTTAAACAACATAATTCGAACTGATAAGTAGCGAATGGCCAATATTTTAATTATCGTGCCAGAACAACTTCTAAATTGATACAAATGTTCGCAAAAATATAGATTTGATAAAACAGTATCAATAACTCGACAATTGACGTAAAAGGAGATCAAATATATGTGGAATTTAACGGGTCTCTGAAAATTGTCCGACTTAAGCGGAAATTCGAGTAAAGCAAGTTTGAGTTACTGAAAAAAATGCTGACTGTAAAAGGTATTGTATTTCAAAAGTAAAGTGATATTAATAGTTAGATGTAATTGATATACAGATATTGACGAATGTAATGCGACAACTGCACTGTGCAAGAATGGTGGCACGTGTGTCAACGGACCAGGCTCTTTCCGGTGTGATTGCATTAACGGTTACATGGGAGAATATTGTGAAATAGGTGAGTAATGTAGTAATGCCTGAAGGTTTCGTTGTAGTCATAAATTTATTACATTAAATGCTATATGTGAGTACATATTTTGTTATGTTTACTTCATGTATCACATGCATAAATAGTCTTGAAAAACAGCGACTGCGTATTGGGCACGACAGTTAACCGAAATGGTGCTTAATTCAAGGAGATATATGTAATAAGAGGGTCCATGAAGATTTAACTTTAAAGGACACACTGAGCATTACAAACAAACTTCTTGTGTGGTCCTTACCAAACATAAATGGTCGAGTTCCATGTACTGTTTTCAAGACACTTATACATCAAATGACAAAATCAAATTGATTAATAATTCAATCAGATACAGATTTTATCTGCAAGATCTCAAATACTAGCATAATTATAGCAAGATAAACATGATTTTTTCATAAAAAGTTGTTAGGTCATTAACTTATTATCAAATCTTAGCAGAAGTTTATTTTTATCATTTTGTTGAATTCTTTTTTGTGTATTATATTACAATGTTTAATTGTTCAGTAAAATATGTTACTTTGATTTTTAGATAAAAACGAATGTATAACCACAAAACCGTGCATGAACGGTGCTACATGTAAGAACATTCCTGGAAGTTATGAATGCATCTGTGCTATGGGATTTGAAGGACTGAATTGCGAGAAAGGTTTTGTATTCAAAATTAATTAATAAAGTGAAAAAGGACATACTGTTTATTCGTATGTGAATATAAATCTATATTCCCATATTAAAACATATGGTCAGATTTACTTAAGAAGAAAATTTCAGTTCTCATTGCATTGTTGTTGAATAATGCACGGTTCAAGTTCAAATGCGTAGGCATATAATCACGAAGGACGATAGACCCGCGTGATTCAAAACCTAGATGTTTGATAGGGGAATAGTGTGAAGCGTGTTAGAAACTTTCATAATGCATGCTTCAATCTCCCCATCGCTTAAGAATATCTTAAGGTAATTAATAACTGTGTTTGTGGCGGAGTGGTTATTAAGGTCGATGACTTCAAAACATTTGTCCCTTACCACTGGGGTATGGTGTCCTGCCAGGGTCTTTGTATTCTTTCATTTGATGAAGCAAATAAGCTAGCTTAAGGCTTTTCGGCGGTTCCACATCTTGTAAAAAGGTACCTGAAATGAGGCACCTAAGGGCATCTTTGGTCTCTTCTCCAGTAAAGTAGGAACGTCTTCTTATGACCTTAACTGTGTTGGTGCGACGTTAACCCAAGCAAATAAAAAATAAGATTAATAATAATAATATATAAATATTTTAAAAGAAAGCATCATATTCTTTTCATTAAAATAACAATGAGTAATTGGATTAAAGATTCTGAATTCGTATAACAATCTATGGTATAAAATTATCTAATGACAACTATAAAAGCCTACCTTTAAAGATGTTCTATGTTTTTTTCTCTGCATCATATTGCAAATTAACATTGAAACAAAAAGGTACAAATTTGAAACTGAAAAATAGAATTATATATTGATTGAAATTCAAATGAGGAATTGTAATTTTATAACATAATTTCCGTTATTTTCATATACGTTCTATTATATACGCTTTATCAGACACGGTCTATAACATATTTAAAGCAACATGTCTCTAGATAAGCCAAAATATTTTAAGAAAAAGCAAACTTGAGAAAATAGTACTAAGATTTTAAGAGAACGATTTAAGTCATGATTAACATGTTATGTTATTTTGTGGTTGTGATTTTCATAATTACTGATTTTGCAGAATATATCACCATATTACTACTGCGTTCCTAACACAGTAAGGACGATTGACGCTTATTTTAACCTATTTTTAATTTGCACCGTTTTTAATATGTAAATAAATAGCTTTGTCCATTTAACAATATTTTACTTTAATCTATGAAAATTAGCATGATTCCAGACACACGCTGCTTTAACATAACTTTTCAGTATTTCCAATATATGCTACACATTTATTGTAAGACATGATAATTTTTTAATTGCCATTTTATTAAAGATATCAATGAATGTCTTGATGACCCCTGTAAGAATGGTGCAACATGTTTGAATTCTCCACCTGGTGATTACAGATGCGACTGCGTTGATGGATGGACGGGCAAAAATTGCGATATTGGTAAAAAATTAACTCTATTGATTTCATTAATGACAATAAATCTTTTTGAAATTAAAGCCCGATTATCTTTTGTGAACAAATAAAAAAAACCAAATCTGCAGCTTTCACCTTTACATGTTTGTCTTTATTTTTCTTAAGAAATCCCTTCTATTGATTTATCATTGTCATGCTATATTGTAGAGGTTGAAAGGTGTCCAGATTGTGTGAATGGTGGAACATGTGTAGAAGAAAATGGTGACTTCAGATGCATGTGTCCGTCTGGATGGAAAGGCGACGTTTGTGAGGAAGGTAGGCTTCCTACTTTTACAATTTTACATTTTTATATAATAATAATAATAATAATAATCTTTATTCACAAAAGGTTACAAACCCATGAGTGTCATGGTATACAATCAATCATTTAATAATAAATATAGGTCAATGGTGACATATAACAATGACATATAATAGTCTCTAAAAGACATGTAATTACACATTTTATGTAACAATTCTTAATATAATTAATTGTGTTGCATACATAAAGCTTTTAAACACTAAGAAACAAAAAAGTAAATAAAATAAATTGCATTATGTTCTAACCGGAAGAAACTTAATAATTCACAATAGAACCTGAACTTGTGATTTAATACATTACAATCACATATAAATATGTATGTTTTACTAGAAGAAACTTAATATTGCATAATATAACATGAACTAATAATCAAATACACATGTGCATTACACTTACATATAAAATGTATATTTTTAAGTATTGAATGATTAAACAAAACAGATTATTAATATATACTTGTAAAAATGACGTTGTAGGAGAAAAGTGTGAATGAAAATATTTTTAAGAAAAGTAAATCGGTGTACGGATTTCAAAAGCTTTATAAATAAAAGTGGACAGTTTTCTTATTATAGTAGTCGATTCATTTGACATTAATTCGATAAATTTAGGTATGTTTGGTCTTTTCCAGTAGTACTTTGGTAAAATACTTCGTTCTATTTCACAATATAAAGTACATTCTAATAAAAAAATGGTATTCATCCTCGAGTTTGTTACATATTATACATTTTCTTTCATTTCTTGGAATTTTTGTTTGGTTTATGCCATCTCCCTGTTTCAATTAATAACCTATGTGCTGAAACTCTAAATCTTGTTAATGCTATTCTAAATTTCTGAATGTTAATTTGTTCAAGATACAATTTAAAATCAAAGTTTGAAAAAAAAATGTAAAGGGAAGCTCTTGATGAATTGCGTAGAGATTCAGTCCAGTTTTGCATGTAGTTATCTTTAAGTCTCTGTTTTACCAAGTTCAAAAATAAAATTTCATTTCCCACTCCCTGATTAACCCAAACATGATAAAACCCTAGTCTCTGAAGTAAGTGTTTAATTGAATTTGCCCAACATTTATAATTTGGTTTTTGTTCTATATTAAAGATCATCATATTGTAAACTTTTTTAATGTACAAATGTTGTTCCGATTTCAAAATTTTAAACCAAAATTTTAAAATTCGTATCATTCTAAGCTGTATTAATTGTTAGAAATCAGTATAAACAACAGATGAAGACAATAGTTTTTTTCCTAAGCGGCTATTTAGTAAGATAATAATATAAATTCATTGGTCTAGTAAAATCACAATTTGTACACACTGTTTGGTTATACAAAAAACACTAGTTTACACAAAATATTTGTTAATTTTCTTTGCTTTGAATATAACTTTGTTTTTTATCTCTTCATATTTTACATACATCAAAATTAGATTTTCTATATTTCTTCAATAGCAAAATAGTAAAACAACACTCGGTGTTATACAGCCTGAACGGCAAATATTATTGTTTCTCAAGTGAATACTGATAAAGTTAATTAAATTTAGGTTGTTTCTACCTATTTTAACATTTCTGTTTTCATATAATGAGACTTTACATTTCTTTATCATTTCTTTAAAATTGACAGATATCAATGAATGCGCTCCCAAACCAGGCCGGTGTATGAACGGTGCTACATGTAGTAATGAACAAGGGGACTACAAGTGCGATTGTGTGCTGGGCTATGGAGGGAAAAACTGCGAAACTGGTACCATAACTAAAAGCCTTAATAATTATTAATCAAACTGATACATATAGTTATTGAGATATAAAAGGAGATGGATGTAACCTCTTGATGTATCATAGTAAACAATATGAACTGATAAAGCAATTAATCGAGTTTATTTGAAAAGAGAGAAAGACAGAAAGAAAATACTGTACCTAATGAAAATGGAACTGAACCGTTACTGAACGCCTAATACTTAGTTCTTGTAAGTATTTGAAAAATATGTGTGAACTCAATAGGAAAATAATTGTAAATAATTGCATACTTTAAGTATTCTTGTTACACATGTTACTATGTTTATCATCATCATCGATTAAAATAATTTGTCTTTTATGTTGTCACCAGACTTGGACGATTGTATGCCAAATCCCTGCTTGTTCGACGGGACATGTATTGATGGAATAAATTCTTTCACTTGTCAGTGTCCACCCGGGAGAATTGGTGACACCTGCGAGGGAGGTTAGTAAACGATGATAAGCATTTAGATGACATATTGTGTAATATGGCAAATATCAAGAAATTTATTTCAATAAAAGCGTCACTAAACCAATGTAAGACTTCTAGAATGTATGTTTTGACAATGGCATAGTTTTTGTCGACTCTAACATTTTATTAAATGTATCTGAAAATTGCTCATGCCAGATTTTCTTTTATTATCATTGAATATATCAATGTTTTTAACGAATCCAAACTCCAATATAACTGTTTGACAATTGGACAGAAAAGTTCACTCACAACACTGTGAATCTTATCATTTATACATACACTAACACTTTTACAGGGAAGTTCTTAATCTAATGTAATGTTGCTAGAACTTGTTCCTCATACCACTCGCTCTTTGTTACATACTTATCATTGACAAATATCATTTGTACATATTTTACATATTTGATGCAATAAATATTTTTAAACCAAACTAACAATTTTGATTTTGTTTATATATATTCTCCAGATAAAGACGAATGTAAGATAGTGCCATCACTTTGCCAAAATGGAGCAACATGTTCTAATACCATCGGATCTTTTGACTGCGAATGTCCTGATAACTGGCAAGGAAACTTGTGTGACACTGGTATGCTATGTCTATAATATAGAAACAATTCATATTTTAAATCATAATTGACATCATCTCATTACAATATTATAGTAAAATCATTGCCCTGGTATTTAATTTACCTAAGAAAAAGTAAGAAGATTAAAAAAAAACAAACAACGAATCATGTATAAATAACATTGCTATTTCTTTTGCAATTAAAAATTGTAATACCTTTAAAATGATCATGTTTTATGACTTGTGTTATCATTGAAAAAAGAAGCATCACTTTTCAAAATATTTGTTATATTTTTAATCTTACCAGCCCGTTCATTGATAAGTAACATTTCCAACTGAAAATATCAATTATTGTCCTTATCCCTAAGTTCATATTATTGTTTTGAAGACAAAAACACCAAAAAAACCAAAGAATCTTTAAAAAAAAACGAGTAAGAAACATGTTATTCGTAATTATTCATAACTTTTCCCTGTTTTATGTTCATGCTTGTAGATAGAAACGAGTGTTCGACTGTGACATGTATGCACGGAGGAATATGTAATAATACGATTGGTTCTTTCAATTGTGAGAACTGTGATCAGGGATGGGAAGGTCAACTTTGTGACAAGGGTAATACTACATATATCTGAGCCGCGCTATGAAAAAAACCATCATAGTGCGTTTGCGACCAGTATGGATCCAGACCAGCCTGCGCATCCGTGCAGTCTGACCAGGATCCATGCTGGTCGCTTACAAACTCTATAACAAGAAGAGAAACTGATAGCGAACAGCATGGATCCTGATCAGATTGCGTGGATGCGCAGGCTGGTCTGGATCCATGCTTGTCGCAAACGCACTATGATGGTTTTGTCATAGCGTGGCTCATTTATTGAACATTTCCACCTTTTATATTTGATATTTTCATAAAACTTTGGCAATTTCAGTTAAGGTGATAAAATGCAAAAACAATATTTAATGACAAGTTGTTTCATTTTCGGAAGATGTCTGAGATTCCTTTATTTTGATGTGAAAATTCGCATATTCTTTAGTCATACTGAATATTCAACAAATTCAAAAAAAATGAAACATATGAAAAATGAATGTTATGAGACTGTGTGTTTTATCATTTATATGAAAAATCAACAGATATGGTGACACTCATTAACATAATTTATCATACATTTTACTTGGAAACTGAATTGTGTTAATACGAATTGCTTTGTTGTTTTATTTCGTCAAAGGAAAGAATATGACGAATTAAATAAGTTCAGCAATTAGTTCTGATTTTATTTTGCCAGAGTTTTATACAAATCTTAACTTACATCAATTTAAAATGGCTGTATGATTTAAGAATGTAAATTAGTTTTTAAAATTCTAATATGACGGTTAACCAAACCGACAACTTGTCCCATTTAATTGACCACTAACGTCACTTTAACGGCGATTCTCCGCACTTTAATAAATAACTTTAAAATTGTAATAGGCTTGATGATACTGTTTTTTGATACACTTATTAGTTAAAAAGAGGAAGATAATTTACTTTTAGATAAGAATGAGTGTCCTACCGTTCAGTGTATGAATGGTGGTACATGTGTCAACACCGAAGGTTCATATTTTTGTGACGGCTGTGACAGCGGCTGGGAAGGACAACTTTGTGAGAAAGGTAACATATTTTTCTCACATATTTTATTTATTTGCAATTTAAAATTACAAGTTTTGTCCTTTGTTGTACATACCTATACGTTTTCTGAAGAAGATTTGGTCATTTTCGACTGATGACAAACCATACATCAGGATCGTTTTTCACTGTTTGTATTTTATTCATTACGTCACCAAGTCTTTTGTTTTGACACTGTAATCTATGCCAATTAAAAGAAATTTCTTTGCTCGTAGGAACTAAACTGTATACAATGAACTCATTTGAAACTTAATTTTCCTTTATATTGTAACCGAACAACAGGAACGGATTAAAGTTTACATTTAAAGTTGTGTCACACAATACAAATATGACCCGTCAAACTGTGCTGTGGCCATTTTCGGCATATAATTATCATATGATTAAAAGATGATACTTTTGAAATAATTTTATGTAGATTTTCATAAATAATATGCTAAGATAATGTTATTTAAATGATAATTATGATAATTTTTAGATATTAACGAATGTCCTACCGTTAAATGTATGCACGGAGGAACATGTGTCAACACTATGGGTTCCTATTACTGTGGGGACTGTGATGACGGATGGGAGGGACAACTTTGCGACAAAGGTATACGTAATCATAGTATTTACATGCTACTCCATCTTCTGATCCTTATTTAATTTTGCAAAGACAACTTTGTGAAAAGCTTACAGACATTAAGCAATAATTTTGAAAAATCAGATCAGAAACAGCAAGACTAGGAAAAAGCCAGATGAAAATGCCATTAAAACAAATCATTGTTTTGAAGTTTCTGATAGTATGGCTATTTTGAATCAGTTATTGAAAACATAAAACATATGATTAAAAGTACATTTCTAATAAAATCAGTTAAATATTGCGTAAATAAATATAAGTTTTCTAGTATTATTTAGGTATCTGACTTTATCATATTAAATCGTAACATGAAAGCACTGAGACCAATATGTTTAATTAGACAGAAATAGTGGATACATGCTAATGGATCATTTGCACAAGTCTAGCATAATTTTTGGTACTTCAGTGATTGATTTAATATGTTAATGTTGGATTACAAACACGAATGGTAATATATGCAGTAAACTGGATCTCTCAATCGCATAATAAGTCGGATTATATCATTAAAAAACATGCATTGAAAAAAAGTAAAAGCAAGCAAGCAAAACACAAATGTTTAAACATGATTTCCGAATGGATTAGGAATGCACAAGATCTAAGTTCTGACTCATATCACATTGTATATTGCAGATAAAAATGAATGTCCAACAATACAATGTTTGCATGGCGGAACATGTGTCAACACTGACGGTTCATTTTACTGTGCTAATTGTGATGAGGGATGGCAAGGAAAACTTTGTGACACAGGTAAATAAACTACTAGAATAAACCCTATGAACCTGTGGCATTTACACAAACAAAAACATTGCAACACTATGATGGTCAATTAATTTGTATTATCTACTTCTTTTTTTCATAAACAAATTAGTATCGAACGCTACGCCTTTCTATCTATAGTTTCTGCTGCAGGATTGCATTTACAGACCTAAATGTTGTAGTTTTATTACTAAAAGCCTTATATTGGATGCATAGAATTGCAAAGGAATTGCACATGGCATTCACAACACTGTCACGCAGACTTCAAGTAAATAATTTGCATTGTAACATGTAACTCTGCCTTTTGCTAAGCCGTATACTTTGAATTTACATTTGTCATATGTTTGAAGATAAGAATGAGTGTCAAAATGTAACGTGTGTGCATGGTGGAACATGTGTTAACACTGATGGTTCCTTCAGTTGTGAAAATTGTGACGCTGGTTGGACCGGACAATTCTGTGAAGAAGGTACTCAATAAATCCAATTACAAATAAAGTTTTGCATTAATATATATCTTCTGAAATTATTTTCAATAGACTACTGATTTGTACTAATAAAGTATTACATTACACGATTTTCAAATGGATGGTCGAGAAATCCGAAACCATAACTTTGTTCAGTATGCAGCTACAAGATATATTCTTTATCATGTAACAATTAAGTTCATAATACCAAGAGGGCTTTGTTATGTAGATGGGACAGGATTAAAATTTATGGAAAAGAAAAGAACGTTTACAGTAAAGTAAAAAAAAACCCCAAAACAAGAAATAAACAAGATTTTACAGATTTATTCTAACAATGACAAAAGATTTAGTAAAGATCATTAAAATATATTGAACAGATATTGACGAATGTAACATCTCCATGGGATCTGATATGCCATGTAAGAATGGAGCCTCCTGCCTCAACCTTGAAGGTTCATTTGAATGTATATGTAAAACTGGATATCAGGGTACAGATTGCTCTAAAGGTAAATATTTACCGCACCATATTGATTTGTAAAAGCGATAGGAAAGTACATATATTGACAAACATCATGCATGATTTTGGACATTGTTCATAATGCCTTTTGCATTAAATATTATAATTTGGCTGCATGAAACAAGACATCAAAAACCAAACTAGGCAAGACAATATGTCAGACAATATGTTCACGAGTCTATTGTGTGATTAATAATTATTTTATACAAACATTACAGACAAAGACGAGTGCTCCTTATCACCACCAGTTTGTGAGAACGGAGCAACGTGTATCAACACCATTGGCCTTTACACCTGTGAATGTACGGATTTCTGGAGAGGGATCCGATGTAATATAGGTATATCATCCTTTTTGCGCATATGTTTACATGCTATTTCACTGGAAAGATAACTAAATACAGTCGCGAGTCGTAGTCACTCCCAATGCAACAATTGTAAGCAATAAAGTCAGTAATCACGGTTTGAGCCATATACCAATGATCTAATCCTGAGTCGTTAACTAATAAGCTGAAGGAAATGTCTCTTTATATTTTTTGAGTTTAATGGATATCAGCTTTATATTAACAATTATGATACAGTACACATTTTTTTTCCGTAAGTTTGAGTTTACATGTAGTGAATATGAAGAAAAAAGGCTTTTCTAAAGATCGAATAAGCTAATTTTAAATGGACAAGTAAGAGATGCTTTATGTTTCTTTATCAATGACATGGTTCTATACCTATAAAACGGTTATATACCAAGACAATACTGATGTCATTTCAATTTACAGATGTAAATGAATGTGTTGAATTTGGTTCGCTAGCCTGCTATGACAACGGTGTATGTACCAACACAATCGGCGGTTACGTGTGTAATTGTAGCGCTGAATATACCGGGAAAAGATGCGATGAAGGTTGTACAATTCCTTTTACATTCTTGAATGTTACAAAATGCTGTTTTTTTATATAGTTGATATCGTATATCTTCGTTGTATTATTTGTGGTGATATTTAAAGGAGTCGCATATTACATTGAATGTGAACACAATAGTATCATTAAACAATCTTTGAATTTTTCTCGGGGAAGAATTAGACCGACTTCCTTATGGTATGAAATAGAAACTTCATTTTTCTAACAATAGATAGACAATTCGAAGTTATAATACAATAGATATTTGATTTTTTCAGATAAAAATGAATGTGGGATTACTCCACCAATTTGTTTGAATGGAGCAACATGTAACAATTATTTTGGATCGTACGATTGTGATTGTGATACTGGTTTCGAAGGACTTAACTGTGGCACAAGTAAGTCAAAGGAACCTCAACATTTCATAACATATTGCTGCCGTTCTGGAATGTTATTTCCATATGAGCCGCGTCACGACAAAACCAACGTAATGGGTTTGCGACCAGCATGGATTCAGAACAGCCTGCGCATCCGCGCAGGTTTGTAAGCGAACAGCATGGATCCTGATCAGACTGCGCTGATGCGCAGGCTGGTCTGGATCCATGCTGGTCGCAAACCCATTATGTTGGTTTTGTCGTGACACGGCTCATTTATACTTTAAGTAACAAACAAGTCAAATTTTTAATAAATTTTCACGATTAAAGTGACATAATGCTTTTTTCGCTGTCGTGCGAAATTGAGTATATTTCAAGAGATTGACTATTATAATATTGTTGACGTTCTGGAATTTTCTCCCCAATGTTATTTCCATATATTTAAACTAAATGGTATACATTTATTATAACATTTGGCTTAAGAGAAGAAGAGAAGCATTCTCTTGAACGTATACCTTTCTAAGTACTGACTGAATATTCTTTATGTACGCTTAAACTATATTATGATTAAGCTATATTAGTTGTAACTCATGACTGTTGTATTTGACCTTGTAGACATAGATGAATGCAGCCTTGGTGTTTGTCTAAATGCGGTTTCGTGTGAAGACACAATTGGGTCCTATACGTGTACATGTATTCCTGGGTGGACAGGTCCAAATTGTGATACCGGTAAATAAAATGTAACCTTAACCGATCAAAGTAGTTTAATTGAATTAGAAATTGGTCAGACTACACGATATAGATGCTGACTTTAAAGTCTATACTGGAGCCAAAGGTCATATTGGACCAACGGCTTATCACTTTCAATTAGAACAGAGTGATGGGGAGATACAGGCAAAATCTTCATTTCTTCGTTTTGATTTTTTCATTCATTATTCTGTAAATGTCTTCAAAATGAATACACTGGACAGTCACAGGAACAAAACTTCTCTAATAAAGATATAAAATGGTGAACTCTGGAAACGTTAAAGAACGTTTCAATGAATGACTTAGACTTGGTTCATTCACAAAATATCCACAATATCATTCTGTTATTGTAACTTCCAGAGTTTGTTATATGACTTGATTTAATAATACTAGCTGATTCTGTCGGCGTCTTAATTATTTTTTTAACATAAAGTGTATATAGATATATTTACGCTTCAAACCCAGAATAAATAGAAAGTCATGCTGGGACTTTAAGAAATGTCATTTTAGCGTGATTTGAATACAAAAGATCATTTTAATATTTTTGATATTGATTTGCTTGAGTATTCCTTTTACAGAACGTACCAAATTAGACTAAGTAACATTGATCAATTTAATTTGGTTACAACCACGACTTTAACACAAAAGTATTTCATGAATTTAATTATGATTTTTTCTTTTGGAAGGACATGGGTTTGACAAAAAATGCAATATGTATAATATCCTTATCGAACTACAAATTGTTCTGAAACTTTCTCATTCGTCTACATAATAATAAACTATATTTTAATGTAATTAACCAGTCACTTTCCTGCAGCAATTACTATTATTTTATTCTATTATTTAGTTATAATCATAATCATTGTGAATTTCAGATATTAATGAATGTAATGACAACTTGTGTATGAATGGTGCAACATGCTCTAATAATGAAGGGTCTGTAGAATGTATTTGCGCGGCAGGATGGGAAGGAATTGTCTGTGACAAAGGTTCAGATCATTATTAAAGTGTCCTCCAGCTTTCATTTTTTGTCGGAAAAGCAATCCTGTATTGTTTTAAACAAAGTTTTTCAATAAATTAATCTTAAAAAAGTGCATCATATTACTGTTAAAATTGATAAACAAGATCAACAAGGAAAGGCGGAGTTCAATGAAAGCCTTAAGCCTTCTTCCAAACAATGCCAAAAGAGCTATTTATTCTCAAAAATCATGCCCGCTTTTTTAATTTACAATTACGTTAGATTACAGTTATGGGGGTATGTATTATGTCGGTTGCAAATTTCATTTTCCATCTGAATTCTTTTGATTTGGCAATTATATCAAACGAGGTATCTCGAAATAACATATTTAACCTTTAGAAAAGCTGGAGGCCGGTTTTATGATTATTATGCAGTGTTTCTATACTAGATTGAATTATGAGTATATTAAAGTAAAGATTTTATGATTATGTCGTATGTTGGTCTGACTATTTTGGTCATTCGAAAGACAATCACAGTCTATGACTTCAAACCTTTAACAAACGTATCTAGAATATACAAAGTAGTGTTCCAAATATGTTTACATCTGATTGGTTACATCGTTTAAAGTAGATAAACTCTTTTTACCATTTAAAACAGTAGCCAGACTAAGGTGATGATACTATTTGAAGATTACATGTATTGTCTTGTATTATATAAAATAGTGTTAGATATGTATGTATTTGTAATGTTTACGTAGTGTTTTCGCCATTCCGTGGCATGCATTTTGAGCTAAGTGTCCCCTGGTCAGTGCAGACATACGTATCTCCTTATGAACGAAGCAATTTTTGTTTCTAAAGAAAGGCAAGGCCACCGCAACATACGTTTACATGAATTCTTATTTCTTTTGTTACAGATATCAACGAGTGCCTTGTGACAGGTATCTGCAAGAATGGAGCAACATGTAATAACAAAGATGGGGGTTATTCATGTATATGTGCATCTGGTTGGCAAGGATTGAATTGTACCGTTGGTAAGTTTTGATAACATTTCATACTAGTTATGAGCCATGCTTTCTGAAATTCGTCATATACTTTAAATGATATAAAATATAAAAATATAGTATAGCGGTGAAAAAAAAACAGCAGAAGCTTGTCGACTCAAGCTTTGGTCAAATGTTTTTTTGTATAAGCAGTTGACCAATTTACTACAGTTAGAGAATACCTCAATTATAGATATGTTAAAATACCTTCAAGGTATAATTCCAAGTACGCAACTTACAAAGTGATCCGTCATGATACATTTTAGTCCCGTTTTCAATGTAAAATATTTATTGAACATTTTATATGGAACAGAGTTGGATATATTGTCATAGTAAAAATGTTAAAAGAAGATGTTCAAACTAATAATGTAATTTATCAGCTTATTTGTTCATCTAGTTTGTCACTGAACATATATGGAGAATTGTGTGATGTTTTAAAAATATTTTTAAGATTATCGTTTGAACGCAATATAGCACACTTAAAGTCAGCTAACTTTATTACATGTTTTCAAATGAATTCCTCCATCCGTGGATTTATCAAAATCATGTTGCAAGTTAATATTTATCCAACTTTCTGGTGTCACTTGTAACAGATATTAAAAAATGAAAACAAAAATAACAAAACGGTCAAGGGATAAAAATGACACACTTAGTTTACCTGTTCAGATATAAACGAATGCGTGGCAGTGGATATTTGTAAGAACGGAGCAACATGTAATAACATTGATGGAAGTTACGACTGCATATGCTCACCAGGATGGGAAGGTCAAAACTGCGAGAAAGGTACATTTATCATATATCCTATTGCCGGTAACATGACGTAACCTATTACCGTTTACAAGGTAAAACCTATTACCATAAACTAGATATAAACACTTAAGACCGTAGATATTTCCAGACTATTAACAGACAGAAAGCAAGCGAATATTGGTATCATATTTGGCTCAAACCTTTGTATGTATATTATTATCTGGTTAAAATATTACAATATTAAGTTTAATAACATACTCGTGCTCCTTTTGCGACTCAATTAAAATGTATTACACGGCCGTGCATATATTTTGGCGCGATGTCATTTTCATTATGTAATCATAGGGTGTAGCCACGCTAAAGTTATACTAAATGCATGCCAAGAAAAAATGTTCTTTTTCACTTCAAACGATTTTGTTTTTTGTTATGGGATAAGTAGAATATTAAATTCATGTCAGTTAATTAATTAATTTATTGAAATCGTTGATCGTTGAATAATATAATGTTATGTTCGGTTCAGGTTCAGATAAAATAATGTTATTCAATTTGTTCAATAAAGTCAGTATTAAACTTACACCCATTTAATATTCTCTATTTACTAAACTAAGTAATAATGTAAATCTATTAACAGACAAAGATGAGTGTGTGACAGTTGATATCTGTGAAAATGGTGCAACATGTGCAAATAATGATGGAAGTTATACTTGCACGTGTGCTACAGGATGGGAGGGGAAAAACTGCGGCATTGGTAGGCTATTGAATTAATATAATCTGTTTTCATATTTCATTTAAGAAGTAACCAAAGATAAATTTGTTCAAAAGGCAATTGAAAGCAGTCGACTTTACCTTTGTCGTTATGTTAGTTTGAACACTCATTACCAAGGTATTTTGCAAAATGAAATAAATAAAAAAACTAAATAATTTATCGAAAGTAGAACTAAGTTCATGTTTCAAGTTACAGAAAGAGTAAAAAAGTGAATAAATTGATTATAATATGTTTTTATCCATTTGTTTAGATATAAATGAATGTCCAGATGTGTGTGAAAATGGCGGGCTATGTAGAAACACCCCTGGTTCTTTCAACTGTACATGTATTGGTGATTGGACTGGACCCACTTGCGCACTAGGTATTTAATATTTAAATAATACCTAATCATTATATTGAAAAGAATCTTAAAGAGAAACATTAAATACGGTATGAGCTGTACAATTTGACATGCCGGAGTAAAATAGGACGAACTTGCTGGTTACTATTCAAATCTAGCATTATTATAATAATCTTAATTATAAAAAAATAACACTTTTCATGGATGGTTGGAACTTTCTTTCTAGTCGGAGGTAAAACATTTGAACTGGATTTCGAAACAGTTGGATTGACAATAACACCGGAGTTACTGAATAGACAGTCAGATCAGTTCATCAGAAAACAGACTTTACTTTGTGACGACGTAAGTTGTTTATTATTATTTTTTTAATTTTGGCATTTAGTTTGTAAACATTTTGTTCACAAGATGATTGAATATATGTGTATTTGTTGTTTTTGTACAAAATGGTGATCCCGCTCGTGTCACATCAATTCATATATCATTTTCACGTCGTTTCAATTAAGACAAGTTCTACAAAAATCAATATAACATAGGTCTTTTAGAATCATTATAGTTTGTGGTCACTTAAATGTTAAAATCATGTGTTGCATTTCATGACCATGAATTTTGTAGTAAAGACAAATGAGACTTTTAGAAAATCATTCCAATTTACTATAGACTAATGAGACTACTTGAAAAAAATCTTTATAAAGCTAGGTATTAAATTGTCATATTTACATTGTATGTATAAAAATGCTAGAATCAGTAAACCCTTGTGTACATTGTGTTACAGATCGGATTTTTTGTAGTTACAAATTATAACGAGGTATACGAAAGTTGTAGAATCAAAAGCTTTGTGTAAGTATTTATAATTATATGTCTTGTGTATGTCAATGTATGACAGACTATAGTATACTATTGAATTGATTGTATATAATGCTTAATAACAATGTAAAGATCTCTCTTCAATGCCAGTATCATCACGCACTAAATTGTATTTACACATTTTAATTATTTTCTAATTCCTAATTGTGTTGGCATACTTTTTCAGACCGTCAGTAGAGTAGAAGAATTAAAGTAGTGATTAAATGTTATTGAAGAGTTTGATAGAAAATGTTCATGCTTACTTCAAATATTATAGATAAGAACTGGAATCCTTAAATATGTCAGTAACTGATTTATCAGAAAATTTAACCATTTGCCGGTAAACTGGAATGATGTGTCTCCGACCCCCCCCCTCCAAAAAAAGAAACAAAAAAACAAAAAACAAAAAAAAAAACCAACCAATGAATGCAGCTACATACTATTGCGCATATTATTGATCTTCAAATTTAATCAAAATATTTGTGCATAAGTATTTTTCACCTTTCTATATCAGTTTTTCTTAATATTAAAGGATGATCGTCCGCACTTAAACTATCATATGCTTCAGGAATGAAATTTAGTTTGAGAAATGGACTGCAGATACCAGTTAGTGCATTTGAGCAAAATTGTCACAGTCATTTGCAAAGAAACTAGTGTATCAATGCTTAATGGATCGTCATTAAAGTCAAAGGAATAGTTTGTTGGAGCAAAATTGTACTTATTTTGTACATGAATTAATTGATTAATTGTATCTTTTTTACAAGTGATAATCCAGCAGGTTTTACTCTTCAACTGACTTTTGATGTTGATCAATCTGACGATCTGGGTTCTAACATATATGATTTGCTGTTTGAGCGTAGAAAAAAAGAGAGGTAAACATGTCAGATATTTAATAAATACTAAATTTAATTTCTAATCTACGATTAAAGATTTCTTTCTTCGATTAATCTTCCTATATCAACAATGGTATAGTATTGTAATGTTTTAGGTTCTTTAACCATATTTACATTGATTGTTACTCCTTCCTCTGCAAGCGCTGATATTCAGGAAATATACAACGTGCTTCTGGCATATATGTCTTTTTTATCTGATCCGATATTTTGTGATACTGTAACTTTGAATTGTACATAGGAAAGTAATTATATAATTTGTGATTGAGTTATTAACTAAATCTCTAGAAATATAATCTATAACGGATGAAGGTCAATAAAAAAACGCCTTATGCAAGTAAGTGAACGGATATTAGCTAAGCTACAGTTTGTTGTTTTTCAAAGACCAAATGCTGATTGGTATTAATTACACATCAACACATGTTTTGAATACTTTTTTGAATACACTTTTTCTTTGTCATGATCAAAAATCTTCAGATCAACCTGAAATATGAATTTTATTAAAAACTACTGGTAATATTTTTTTTCAGATATGGGGATGTTTATGGCATTCCAGTTGGAGATATGATCTTGAAGCACTCTGACTTTATTTCCACAATGGTGACAATGACGAAAAGGCTGGTTAATTTCACATTCACAGATGCTTTGAATAACGAAAACTCACTTTCTTTTCAACGATATGAAAATGCTTTTTGCACTCAGGTAAAATCTGTCTTGTTTTGGTGGTGTTCAATTTCATATTTTGCTATTTCTAAGTTATATTTTATAAAAAAAACTTTTGTTGAGGTCGGTATGTATTTTTTGGATCTGAGAGAAAAGTTATTAAGCCATTGGGCGATGTATCTTTTACCATATCTGAAAAACTGCTGTGGTGACCAAACATAAGTCTTGATTTTTTTATCCTGTACCAACAGTGCATGCATATAGTTAACATCTCTTTTTCAAAGATTATTTTAATGTCAGAACACAATACTGTTATAAAATTTGTATATATTACTTATAAACAAAACTGTGTTCTAACAACTGGTTGGATATAAAATTAAACATAATTTAAATGTGCAATAAGAGCCTTGTTAAAATGTGTCTAGCGGTCTACATGTCTTTTTTGTAACTTTTACATCTTTTTTCCTGGCATCAAAGCAAATAAGCCAAATCGTGGTGCTTTTATAAATGACAAAACAATGCATAGCCTTATATCATGTATACGCTTATCATGTGTTACGAGGTAAAATGTCTTTGATGAAAGGTAATTTTTTATCTGCAGGTAAATCAGCTGATGACGTTAAGCGCAAGCGCAAATTTGTTCCCCGACTTCATTGAGTGTGATGTACTAGGTTTCAGGTGAAATGATATAAAACGATATGATGGCTTGAACGGAGCAGTCACCGTGTTAACACAATCGAATAAAGGCCAGGCAATATTATCTTTAAGTACATTCCGTCTTGATCGTGAAATGTTTAGTTTATCTATTTATATATCATATATTTGTGCCCTATTTCATTTCCTACCTTCGGTCGATCATGAAATAAATCGATTAAGTATTATGCTAGAACAATGTATGTCTTTATTTATTTATATTTCAGTTATGATCCCAGTAGTGACGAAACTAGTGTCGACTTTGAGTTTGAGTTTGAGGGAACCAAAGATGTTGCTAGAATTACGACAAATTTTGACGAATATTTTGAACAGGTTCGGTTACGAATTTAATTAAACATATCCTATGCTCATGTTTTTGTAAAATACTTTAATCACGGAATGTTTTTGAAATCAAGAAACTCTCACTGTATTTGTCTAGTAATTTGAAAAAAGCAACAAGAGAATGCACAAACTGTGTTTTGAGACTGTATTCCCTATTACTTGTCATGGTGGCCCTTTCCTCTTGAAAATTACTTCTATGCTTAATGCTTTCATGATTATATTCCTGCGCATTTGAAGTCAAACCGTTGACAAAATTGATATCTATTTCCTAAATATTTATAACTGTAATGCATTATTTTATACAATGTACTGGATATTTCAGTAATTTGCCAATGGTCCGTTTTGACCGTCACGAAGCGGTTATGTTTGGAGATTTCTACATCTACATCAGAGACTTGCCAAACTTCACCAAGGTGCCTCTAAGCTACCAATTACTGGATGTAATGTGGGAGCAAGATCTTGGTAATAACCAATCTACTTTGTTTATGGATAAAAGCGGTCCATTCTGCCAAGCGGTAAGTTAAGAGAGTTTTCTGACAATATTTTATAATCAATTTCGATATAATGGTCATTTTCTTATTTCATTGTATTATTATATCTTTGAAAACAATGTATTTAACATTTCATATTCAAATATCTTAGAGCAAAATTGTAATATAATATGAAAATTAATAGAGATTAAGAAAAGTACAAAATATCTCTTATCCGGTTTAATCAAAATCGTTTACAGGAGAGAATCTACCTCTGATTTTCACCAAAATCTAAAAATACTTTTACATTGTCAAGTATTATAACTTACTTTTGAGATATGATATTACCATGTAAAAGTATGTTAGAAAAGTATAAATAAAATTAACAAGAATTGCTATGTTGTTAAATGACTGACAGAATGTTCTTTTATTATTGCTTCAAGATGTCTGACCTCATCAAGCAACGTTCCCAGTATGCTGGTAGCTTCGACCAATGTAGTGTTCAAAGTTACAGGTATGTACCATGTTTCTTTAATAAATCGGTAATTGAAAACAGGATACCCCGTTGACTATTTGAATAAGTTTAGTGAACTTGAAATCTCCTCTATCCGTTGGCTTGGCATTGTCAATATTTAGTTTTATGGTCTGCTGATTGCTTTTGGACAGGTTCATCTATATAATATTTCGTGTAACGAAGAAGTATACCTTTAAATATATTTTTTTTCTTATCGTTCTTAACTATGCATAAGCCTTTTCAACATTTCTTCTGTATTGTGGCCTCCATCAGAATAAAAACATCGTCGTGTAAAGAACTTGTATACAATAAGTATTCAGAGATTTAAGCGATATGCTTATTTATTGGTTGATTTGTTATTGTGATATTTTTGTAAAAACAAAACATGTATGCCATAGTTTATCATGATATGATAGTAGGCCATTCTGCCAAAGATGAGTCCACGGTTATAAAGACATTTTCGCAGCTCAAACTCAGATCTCAAGTCGTTAATTGGTCAGAAACCAGCAAATAACATACGCTAGCAAATGCACATGTTGAGTTTAAAGAAAAAGTTTTGATACCCCGGGGCATGTGCTTTGTTATTTTCTTTACATTAGAATACCCTTTAGTTTTACACTTGCTGGCAAGTTACGCATTGAACAATTATCTCTGCTTTCCTAAGGCATTATGATTTACATACTAATTGCGCAATAATTGAAACGCATAATGCACAAATATGTGACAGTTTTTAATTTATTTCAGTGATACAGATTTTGTGACCGTTAACTTCACGATGGATTATTTCGAAGTGTTGGATATCCCGATGATACAGTCTGAAATATCAAACATTATCTATAACTTTACACAATCAGAACGATACAATAACTACGTTGGTTATAGAGTCGAGGATCTCATTTTGTATGACTCCATTGCAACTTACTACAAAGTTCCATACGGTAAGTAAAAAAAATGTTATTTTGACATTACGTATAACACTGTTAGACCCCGAAAATGAACACCACTAAAGTAAAATCGCATGGCGGCTTTTAAAATATCACGTGATTATCTGGAATTACGGGAACGAGTTTTATGACGTCAAAAATGGTTTTGTAATAGTAAAGATATTAAGTGCAACGTAAAAACCGATATTTAAGAAAGAATGGCCACATTAAAAGTAACGTTATGCGTAACTCAGTAACAATGTTATTGTTCTATAAAAAAAATCACATGGATTAATATGAGCCGCGTCACGACAAAACCAACATAGTGCGTTTGCGACAAGCATGGATCCAGACCAGCCTGCGCATTCGCGCAGTCTGATAAGGATCCATGTTGTTCGCTTACCAACCCTTTTACAAGTAGAGAAACTGATAGCGAACAGCATGGATCCTGATCAGACTGCGCGGATGCACAGGCTGGTCTGGATCTATTCTGGTCGCAAACGCACTATGTTGGTTTTGTCGTGACGCGGCTCATATATGTTTTTTTTCTGAATGAAAGCAAATGAAAGAAAAACTTTCATAAACCTGCATATGATATGTTTGATACGACAGAAACTGTTACTGCTAAAACCTAAATTTTCTTTCTTCTTTATTTGCATATATATTACAGATGGATGGATAGCAAATTTCACGTTCAATTTGTTTGACTACAGTTCCTATAAACCGACATTAATGAATTCATCTTCTGAGGACTTTAAAGAAAAGCAGAAAGCATTTTGTGACGGAGATTTAGTCAACAACTTTCAAGGGGTATTTTCTGTTTTATTATCCTTTATTATTTCTTTTTCCAAACGTTTTGTTTGTGTAAAAGTGAAAATGACTGTCAAAGCATTCATAACATAAGTAAAAGATTAACTGATGGTTCGCGCAGGTGTCACTCGCTTTATAAGAATTGTTTAATATTATGTATTTAGGTTTAGGTTCATTAGTATGTTTTTATCCTATATAATAATCAAATCTATGAATATCTGTATTCGTCGAAAACACACAGATGGAATTCTTGAATTAAATTGTTCCTTCTTTTATGAATATACAGATGAATCCTGAGATACTGGCAAGCCAATACTATGGTTCTAGACTCCTGAGATGTTTTGTCCACAGCTACAAGTAATGATACATATTTTTTCATTCTATTCTGTAATATAAAACATGTCGAGAAGATAATTGTCCTTACACTTTAGTCACATACCCGTGCCACCTTTCAGATTCCATAAATAGGATGCTGCCCGGCCGAGCATGTGCATGTGATATGCAAATGAGCCATTGCGCATGAAGTGCATTTAAAGCTTTATATTCTACTTTAATATTTTGATTTGATTTAACATTTGGACTTAATTGATTAAAGAAACAATTATAAATCGCAAGATATGATCATACATTCTTCTGTGATCTCAGTATAACTTTATAGAAGGAGGGTAAGCAGAAATGTTTGTTTTTCTCCGTATGTTCATGTATGTGATTAACAGAATATAGAATGAATGCAGGCTCCATATTTATTTTATAAAAATCGTCAGAGGCTCTCTTCGTGCAGTTATGTTTAACTCGTTCAATGAATTCATAATAGAAGCCACCTACATTTAATACCCTCTGTATATAATGGACAGTACATATTTTATTTCAGATTTGATGACCTGTCGTTAACGGACAAACTGACGTCCACCGTTTCATTCCTGTTCCTGGGAATTGAACCTATTTTCGGCGAGGAGTTAAAAGATATCATACGTAATAATTTTGTTAACATTGCCGTCGGTACAGAAGAGGATTACTATTTCATTGGTTATGATCTTGTACTCATACGCGGGACAGACGAAATCAAAGTTAACATAAGTGATTACGTTGTAGATACGACGACAACAACTCCGATGCCAGAAATAGGTAACACATTATCAAACATATCCGGTTTATTTTTGCTAGTTTTAAGTCGCAACGGCACCTTTGCTCAACAGTTCATTGAAGTAACCTGCTATCGTCATATGAAACATATTCTAATTGTAATTTTGCATAAGGGAAATGGTGTTTTAGCTGTAAATAGCGAATGAATAAACTAAAAATAACACACTAATAACACACCCAACTATAAGATTGATACAGTACGTTTGGGCTGTGTCCACCCATCTTTATAAATGACAGATTGTATCTTTGTATCTTCTTCAATGCTATAAAAGCATAGCAAAGACATGAACACCCGACTTGATAGAAGTATATGCATTTTAATACATCAATTGACCAATGTTCTTTTTACGTTTAGATTTGCTTTTACCAATTTTCAATAATATCTTCAAAATGGGATGCCATTGTTCATGTATTGTTCAGTTACAATGATTTCTTTCTTCATACTTCATTCTCCAGTCGACACACTTCCGATGAGATTTCCACTACTTAACTTCACCTTCAATGAAGACTATTTGGATTCTTCCTCTGCACTTTACAAGAGCCATCAAGAGTTGTTTTGTTATAATGTAAGTAAGAACGAAATGTCCAAACCATGCCGGACATGGCCTTGAGGGACATGTGTTAAACGTTAGACACGCTTAAACACTGAATGGTATCACTTTAATATTAGACGGGTACACACAACCATGTAACACACGTTTATTTTAATTCAAATATAACTCTTTATACGTATGTCATACCGACTTTAGCACATAAAATTTCTCCGGAATTCTCAAAACATTAATGAAATAATATTTCAAACCAATTGTTCCTCTCGCTCAATATTATCTTAAAATATATCCAATTCTCCAATGTGTCTTTTAACTAAGATCTAAATGACTCATTTTTATTGTCATTTACAAAACATTACATAACGTTTTAAGCCTATTATAGCATTCGACACAATATGGCCTGTTATGTGTTGAGTTGACGTGCCGTAAAAATCCACAAAAAAAAGAAAAAAAAAAAGACAGCAATACTCCCTAAACCATATATGAATAGCCAGGTAATTTAGATACTATTAAGTAACACGGAATATTTCTGTTGTAGATGAGTGTATTACTCGGAAAAGGAGACAATGAGCTTCCGAGATTTGGCGGATGTGGCAACATGAACTTGTAAGTATAATCTTATCAGTTTTTGTTTATAGTTTTTATTTCCAAATAACGTACGAACGGAATTTTTAACTTCCCAACTCATGATCAATATATCAAAGATATGTTCAGGAATACTGGTCAGCCCGGATTCTGTACACAACAGTTTCAGTAACTCGTCTGAGTATTCGGTGAATGTGTTTTCGGAATGATATTTCCACGTATGATTCAAAATAGGTAAAATTTATTGGCATTTTTTTGCAGTGTAACACTACATGACAATAAAATTTTACTGCACCGAAACATAGACAATATACCTAACCTTGTCTCATACAGGTCTACATCAGTCAGATTAGTCTTCTTACCCTGATCCCCTTAATACTAAACAAAACAAAACGAGAATGTTCATTGGACCGTTTATGCATCTCTTGAATTTTGTTTTATGGAACTATCAACGAAGATGTTTTTCTGTTTAAATACTGGTTCGAAATTATATCAAATTTTTATAGTTTACAACTAGCCGCATTCAAGTCATTGTGGTTGGGAAGTTTCTCATGATCAACATAATAAAACATGTTTATGTGTTGAAGTTGAATATGTACACTTTAATACCTTTTAAATGTTCAGGCCAAGTTACTTGAATAAGCATATTGAATAAATCTATCTTTGTTTCTACCTAAACTGGCTGTGTTGATCTAGCTATTTATATCTTAACAGTACGACAGAAGGTGGCACACCGTATTTGACGTTTGACCTGGCATTCGTAGATAAGATTCAAGATGCCCAGAGCACCGTTAACCTTATTCTACAAGTGATACGTGAGAAAGCCAAGAGGGACAATATTGTACCAACGGAACAGAACCCTGATGTCACCGTTGCTATTGTTATTGGACCGTTTCTGGTGTACCAAGATCTGCTGCAACCACAAAAAACAAACCCAAATCTCTTCAGCAGCACACCACCGCCGCCGGTGTAGACACTTCAAAAGGTTAGTATCATATTATCATGATGCTTGTTTACCCTATCTGATTCATGCATATCTCTGAATAAGAGTAATTATTGTTTATGTTAAGGTCTTTAAAACAGTAAATTTGGGCAAACGAGACTGGTCAACATTTGAATGCTTAAGCCGTCATTAGTAGTACTGTCATTATCATTAAGAATGACCCGAATGTTTAAATTGTAGACCTACTTTATTGTGCTGATGGTCATTGTAAATTTGATTTTATCATTTTAAGTCCGAGTTGCATCGATATAAATAATGATCCACTGAATGGCACCCTAGGTCATCATACATGGAACTTTTCGGTTTTTCGTAGCGGAAATTAAGCCACACATTTTCCTTTCATTGCTAGGTCAACTGCTCACAAACAGTATCACAAACATAACCATGTGTTCTTTTGTGCAATCCAGGTCAACTAGTGACTATGTATTATCTCAGTGTAGCAACTGGATAACAGGTTAGCCAATTTACATAAAACTGTAAAACTGGAAAGGTCCATACCAGTTTAAGCTGGAAAGTCGCCATATGACATTTACAAAATAGTACTAAACCTCAACAAAAAACCGTTAATACATATTATAATTTTGAATAATAGAATTATATATTTATTTTCGTTACAAAAATTAGATATGTGTAGGTATTTTTATTATGATCACTTCTAATATGTTATTTATTTTAAAATTCCATTTCAGAGCATCTAAACGGACGTAAGAAAGTATCATAACGCAGTCCTGTAAATTAATGAAAACGTTAACTCTCATGTTGTGAAAATATTCCACTCATTTGATTAACATCGTGACATTTGTGAAGCTGTATACATGCCTGATTTTTAAAACAGGACATTTTAATTCATTGATTTTTAATACCTTTGTTTGCAAGTTTTTAAAAGTTCTAACCGTTATTAAAACACATTTTTTTTATCTTTATACTTATGTAAACCACTGAGTGATATCTTGTTTTTGATATTTTTAGACTGTTTTGTTTGTTCGCCTTGTTACTTCAAATGAAAAATATTAAAATGATATTATGCTCATGTTCAATTGAATGAGATATGTTATTCAAAAGATTGACTATCATAATAATAATTGATATCGAAATATGTTCGTGTTACAATGTGAAAACGATATTTTTTTTCGTTGGTCAGCTGAATTATTGATTTCTTTATACATATACATAAAGTTTAACACAATTATGGCAAAATGTCAAGTTATTTAGATTTTTACCTGTTCACTGATCATTTCTACTCTGATGGACATAATGTCATTTAATAAAAATTTTCAAACATGCATTTATCCCTAGCACTTTTCTTAATCGTTATTAAATTTGTATACCTTATCATGAGTTTAGTTAGATTTATTTTAAACAGTCTTTTTTATCATAATATCTGATCAAATGTTTATATATCAGTTTGGTATAAATATTTAGGTACAGTTTTCAACTGTGATGTATATTGTTAAGGAAGTTACATAATGATTAATTTTGTAGAAATATCAGTAAATATGAATCCATTAAAGTGGCTTATTTTTATAATAATAATAATAATAATAATCTTTTATTATAGTGACATGTGTTTTCGTACATGAAAATTACATTTATACAATGTAAATAAAGAACACCCGGCCTTATAGGCCTATAGGTCACCTTAACAACAGTGTAAAATGCACGTGAATATATACAAATGGACAATTGAAATAATAAGAGTCTGTGTAACATAATTACATATAACAGCTGTTTAGAGGCAAAATTAACGTTTAAACATAAATAAGAAATGACTACTTTAAACATTAGGAATAATGGTTCTGTATTAAACTTAATTTTTATATGTAAGAATATTTGTTTGCAATTTACCATGATTTAACTATGTTTTATTCTGGCATAATATCTTTCAATAATATCAGTTAATTAAACGTGTCATGATTTTCTCTTTAATCCGTATATTTATCTTTCCGTATTTGTGAAACAATAAACCTTTTATGAATATTGTAACTAATTTACATGTTTTATGTAGTCTAAACAAAACAACCATCCGGAAAGGGAGCCATGAAAAATTTAAGAACTCGATTTTTTGTTGATACCATATAATGTCAAGTGCATCATCTCTTATGCCCTCAGCACAACTAAATTAGTAAAACAAAAGAATAAAGTGTTCCCTTTCAAAGTGCCCGAAGAAACTACAAGACTTATTATGGTATGGCTTTGCCCGTTCGCCTGACCGTTAGTCCGTATACAATTGGTTTCGCAGGTTAACTTTTGAAGGGTTTCATTAAATGTGTTTATATTTGGCATCATTGTAATTATATTATGTCAAAACACAGGTGTAGTTCGATTTTTTTGCCGTAATTAACTAATTATTGATAGAGTTATGACCCTTTTATATGAATTTTTCTGTGAAATAATTGCTTTCCGCAGGATAATTTTTTAAGGATTTCAATGATATTTTGCATATGTGTATGACATATCAAAACACAGGACAAGTTTAATAATACGAGTTGCAATCGTAGTTGCAATCAACTTTTAATTGAAAGAGTAATGCCCCTTTTAGCGAACCTTTCTGTGTAATTATTGCCTTCCGAAAGATAACTTTTGGAGGATTTAAAAAATTGTGTTCATATTTGGCATGTAAGTATGTAAAATAAAATCACAGGCCAAGTTTAATTTTTACTGCTATCGATTTTTTATTGAAAAGGCAGAACCCTTTTTAACCAAGTTTTCTATGAATTTATTTATTTCCGCTGAATACTTTTGAAGGATATTAACGATTGTGTTTATATTTTGCATTGAAGTATGTTATATCAAAATACACGTGCAATGTAATTTTCGTTGCAATCAGTGTATTAGTTTTTGTCTACATTTATGTTGGAAACAGCGGTTAGGACTTGAGCTATCTGTTTTACCATTTATAACAGAATGTACGCTAGAAAATTAAGAAAATGGCGAGGTTTTTTTTTTTTTTAAATAAATTCATTTCATTTTATTTTTTGACACTGCTGTTTGTTATCATATAACTGTGTTTGAGTAAGCACATAAGCACCCACATAACTTTTACGTTATCTTTATTGTTTTAATTGTGCACTATCATAATGATACAGTAAAAAGTACAATTCTTTATGTCAGTGTTCTTTAATGTTCAACATTATTGAATAACAATTTAATAATGCATAAAGTATGAACTGCATTTACATATGTCTTCGTTGCATACATATACACATATACAAAATGAGTCCAACGCAACATAAATATGTGGCGGGGTAATCTTTTTTAAATTGTTGGTACATTAAAACATACACACTTAAGCAAAACGTGATGCTCTTCCAAAAATTTCTTGCACTTCAGTCATTGATCTTGGAATTATAAAGTCAGTCATAGCAGTATGTCTTCAATACGCAGGTAATAAATTTACCGTGTAGATATCGATATACAGTTGCGCCAAGCGTTTTTAATTTTAAAGACATCTGTAATTATTTTTGTTCTCCTAATATAGTCATAAATAAGCGTTCTTTTTTTAATTTTCAAATATGTAAAAAAACTAAACTCATGTGTGCAGTTCCTCTGTGCAGCTATTACAACATAACTGTATAACTGTAATTGGTATTTAAAACTTTGTATCTTTCTCGACTTTTGATAACGTAAATGACGTTGATTTCGTTAAAAAAACATTGGTCGTCCTATAAAGCTGTCCGTCTTATAAAAGAGGGCGTCTTATAGAAGAAGGCGTCTTATAATTGCATATTATAAATCGATAACATCTTGATGTTTTTATGTAGTTCTATAATATATCTTAATAATAGAAACAGGGGCGAACGAAACAATAATTGGTTAATAACTGTATAATATACCTAACATCATTTTCATTATGGTTTTGGGTCCAATGGACATACAATTTCTGGGATATTATGCACACAACTGTTCACTTTTGTACTCCATCGAAGACCTTTCTGACATTCCAGCACTTTCTCTTTTTTATTTTGACACTGAATAAATTTTGAGCAATCATACGGATGAGGAAAATAGCCATCGTCTTTCCCTTGACAAGGCCTGATGTCTGGACACAACAGTTCTATTTCCGTCGGGTAAATGCATGCGCTATTGATCGGTTCAAAAACGAGATCTTTGGCGCAGTGCATATGCCGCACCTGACCGTTGACGCACTGTATAAACATGGAACAGTCTTTAGGGTGTGGATACAGTTGTATATCCATTTTATTCGCACAGGGATTGGCGGAGTATTCTGAAATAGCGATTTTGAAATGATCAAATACTGGCCATAATATGAAGATATATTGTGTTTGATTTAACTTTACAAGAAAGAATTGGACATACCCGTATTGACTTGATTTTCTTATTTAAATATATAGATTGGGAAAGCAAAAAAAATGAGAGAAACCACCGTAAATGTTATTAGCTAAATTTGGGAGAAAAACCCCTATCACTGTAACACGTATAAGCTAAAATCAAAAGAAATTCCCTATCACTATAATTAGCTAAAAGTCGAGAAACCCACTATAACAATTATTGGCTAAAACGATTATTCAGTCGGTCAACATCAAATAAACCTCTAAATTATAAAGACACAGTTTAAGAAAAAAAGAAATAAAAAATACATTTGTGTTGCAAGATAAACTAGTGTCGTCGCATTTTTCAATCATAATAGCAATTAAAACGATTATTATTAGTCTGATTAAAATATCCAAATGGTATTAACCATTACAACGCAAAATATCGTAAATGAACTTGTTCATAAAACCATCACATTCGGGGAAATTTCCCTAATATGTACTGACTGAATAGCTAATGTCAGTGCAGACAATGATCAGACAGTGTGCTGACCTAGTCGCATAGGTACAATTTGTTGCCGCCGTCTATTGGCATTAATAAAATATCATACATACTTGGTCTCTCTGAATATTGTCCCGCAATAGCTGTCAACTTTACACCGTCTGGTAGTAGTCTTTTTGTTGTAACGGGAACCTCAGAAGTAGTGTCTACCATCCAGTGTATTGTGCTTGGGGGTGTTGAAGCTGAAGGCGTGACATTGGGACTTGTGATTCTCGTGCTTTTTGTAGAGGTGGTGGTCGTTGGTTTAGGTGGAGCTTTGCTAGGGTCAGGGCATATAACATCTCGTGTAAATCTTAAAAGAAGTATCACCAATATATTAAATTATAATTACATGTATTAAAGTTTCTGTCCTGAATAAAAGTTGAGATTTGTTTATTACTTAAGATGAGATGATATTGTAATTTCAAGATTAAAATACAACTATAATAGGCCAATGCTGACGTGTACAAAATTTCGAATTATTGAATTACATATAAAGTAACATATGTTTTCTATGTTATTTAATTTCAGTTTTTCTTTATTACATCCAGTAATTCATTTTTTTCTTGAGCTCATATAAATAAAAAGAAATATAAATATAAAAAAAAGCGAAATTTTAGGTGAAAAAGGCCAATTCATTTGCTCTGCTCAATCCATTTCCACTGATAAACACAAACTGTATTATTATAATATCATTATAAATATATTGTATAAAGATGAAAAAATAACCCCTAAACATTAATTACTGAACATTTTGTTGTTTTATCACTTGGTGTTTACTTTGATGGACACATCACTAAGAAATTTACGTTTGAAGATATTAAACTGACCGTCACCATCCACATCAAGTTTATACTTAAGTCATGGACCAGACGGTCTGTTGCAGACAGTGTCTCGCAATAAATGTTCAAACTAACACGAAGTCATTATACCATCTATTTTGACTTGTCTAATGAAATATATGGCTATTAACACTAAACGGGAAAGTCTGCCTACCAGAAGCAAATCATATTATCACAAAAAAAATATCTTAGATGTGTATGGTGAATGGTTTGGAAAACTTTTTGTGCATCGTGTTGTCGCTAGCGACATCACGACAAAGTGCCAAACGGTGCGTTGTCGCACTTACGTCTTGTCGTTAACGATGCACGCCAAACGGCGCGTTGTCGTGCGCATGGTATCACGATGTCACATTGTCGCTCGGCTCAAATCGAAGGATTAGCTATTTGTATATCTATAAGCCAGTGACAGGGCGACATCGCGCCGCACGACAACCGCGCCGTTTGGCTTGCTTCGCCAGCGATAAGACGACAAGACGATAACAATATAGGTTGTATGTTCGCTATCGACAACGCAAAACGCAAAGTGTACCAAATCAACCATCATAGACGTGTTTTATAGGAAATACATAGTCATTTGTTTCGTGCGATTAATATAATTTTTGCATCTTCAGGTTTTTGAGTCTGGTATAAAAACCAACTCAAATCCTCTCTCTGGATTGAGAATCATTAGGTTTGTATAAGAGACATGGTTTTCAAAAACACCCCAGAAAACATTGTTTTCATATTCTTATTGCAATATGTGTGATAAGTTTCGGCAGTGATATCTCTGTTATTTAACGTGCATGAATTTTATATTAAAACGGGAAACGCAGAATTAAATGTTAAATTAATATTTGTGGGTCTTAGGCGGTGAGTTCGTACATGAACCAAACTCTTCTTGTCAAAACCACAGCTATTATTCTTTCAAAAGATGTTATCCTGAACTTTGACAATGTGGGTTTTGCCTATCTAATCCCGTGATACAACAAATCTTACAATTATAGATTCACGGTGAAATATCGTTTACAATGGAGTTGACAATCACGTTACACTTTTTATTGAAATACATGTATTTATATTACAAATGTTAAAGTATGTTTGTACCCCGAGATAAAATTGGAATAATCCACATTTTGCGAGTCCCTGTGTATCTCTATCTATGTCCTAACATCTATTACAAGGGGGGCGTCCGTAGCCGAGTGGTAAGGGTTGTTGACTGATATAATGCACGGAAGGGCATCTGATGTCTTCGATGACACGTCGCCAAAATTATGACTTATACTGTGTCGGTGGGACGTAAAACCAAATCAATCAATCAATCAATCAATCAATCAAACAAACAAACAAACAAACAAACAAACATCTAAAGCAGACATGATAATATAGGTTTATACCCTTTAAAAATAATAAGGTAGTCTTGTTAAGATTTGTTTTACCTTGAGACACATGTAAGTTGTTTCCAATGATACAGTAGTCCGTCTGTACATTTCTGTTCGATTGTTTGTTCATTTGTACACTGTATAAACATATTGCATTGTGTCGGATGTGGAAAATATGTTCCTTCATATTTATCACAAGGGGTCCAGGAATATACTATAATATAGAAAACAAAAAGATAATTGCAGATTCAGTATATTGATTGAATTTACAAAATAAGATCATTCGAGTTGTGAATTTGGACCGATTTGGTATATTTTACGTTAATCAGATGGACAGACTAACGCAAAGACAGAAGATATTAATTTATATAAGTCACACATATTAAAAACATGCAAAATGACGCGTGCTTCGTTAACGTAGGGTTAACTTTCCTTTTACGTTCAAGAATACATGGTAATACCTAGACTGTAGACAATATATTGTCAGACATCTGATTTGCCTATTTAGAGATATCTGGCTCTATAGAACATTTTCAAATATGAGTTAAATCTCGAGTACTTGCATTTTAAAAGGGTGTGTTACTTATTCATAGCTAATTGGTGGTTGTTAAAAGTTATGGTGTCAAATTAAAGGTTTTACCAGGTTTATCAGACGGTGGTTTCTTCTTATTGATTGGTATATTTGGCGGAGGTTTAGGTGTAGGTTTTGTTGTTGGAACTTGTTTCGTCTTGGTCGTTGATTTCTTCTTTGCACTTATATTGTTATCATCTGTAAAATGCATTCATAAAATCTCATTGAAATACCAGTAAAAGCTGCACAATGCCATCATTTCTGTTATATGATACTACACCTATTTAGTACAATTACAGTTTGTCACGCAGTCGAAATATAGTGAAAAAAACAAAACAAATACAGAATTCCTAAAGGACGTCTTAAACAACACATTTGCAAATATGATGGTGGCAGTTTGACTGAGCGTTTCAATGAAACATTTTGTTAAATGTAAGCTACAGTCCACGTCATCCAGCATTGGCTAATTAAAAGCAGAATTCAACATAAAACCTTAATATTGTGATATTTTGAATTAATAAACATTCGCTAATGCAAATTTAGATTACAGGTATTTAGAAAACGGTCAAAGCTTTCACGGAAATCGAACTATATTGAATATGCATTTAACTACTTAAAGACAACATAGCTGACCTGGAGTTGTTTTAACAGGTCTCTCAGTCGTTGCCGGTGTGTTGACAGTCCTTCTGTTAAAAGTCTCGGGTTCTAATTTTCGGTCCATCTTCACTTGTACTGTATCCAACTCTAAAGCAAACTTATCAACAACAGCAAGTTGAGAGGTTTTGTTTGACACTGTTGTAGCAGATGTTTCTATAACTTCTACAATCTGAGACGACGTCGCTTCTTCTTCCATGAAGAATAATGTAAAATTGATGTAGGAATTTCTGTAAATAAACAAAGCGGAACTTGTATTGATAATCCTGTTTTGGTTTTTATTTGTTTGGGTCGTCAGACCAAACAAATAATGGTAGCGAAATTTCAGAGTCTAATGCTGTTAATTGCAAATGCCGAAAGTAGTCCACTTTTTTGAATCGGTTACTTCCCTTTATATGTACACTAACGCCGAAAAATTCAGGGGAGATCACTGCATAAAGATGGTCAAAGACAGGCGCATTAATTTTCAAGCAAAATAATTCCCGAATGGTCGAAGATTTCTAATATTGTTTTATTATATTTTCTGATCGAAAATAAGTAAATACAAAGCGGACATCAATCTCTGACACAGAAGTTTCCAACAAACCTAACAACAAGTAGTTCTCAAAACAGCTTAAAACTAGCGATTTAAAAGAAAGAAATATTTTTATTTTGTTACAAGTATCCAACAAATAACAACGCATTCAAAGTTTAAAAATAGCGTTGGCTTATAGAATTGTCAATAAATGCACAATCACAAATTACGCGGATGAATATGATTTTATCAATGAAAATACTATTTTTAGCGATGCCGATTACCGAATACTACACAACCCGAGTAGTGGAATATATAGATTCTACATGTCGGACTGTTTGGGCGAGAAGATTTTCGCTACATTATTTACTTCAATTTTAAACAACAGGTTTATCCTGAACAAAATACCTCGAAATTAATAAGGATTACAAACCCGAAATGCAATGGAAGTTCTAAATTTAGAATGGCTTGATGTTGTTCAGACATTGTTTGTTTAACTTCTCCGTGGTACAGGGGTAACGCGTTCGCTTAGTGAGTGAGAGGTCTGGAGTTCAAATCCCAGTCAAGGAAACTTTTTTTTTTTAATTCTTTTTTAAGTGTCTTTGTTAAGGAAGTAGCCATGATATGCAAGGATAAAGTGTGGCTGTTAGACAGGACTGATTTTAAGAAAATATGAATGCTAGAGGCATTTTATAGTACAAGTTATATCTTGAGTGTTTTAACCTAATATGGGTATGCTGAAGACGATGAGGGTGGATACAAAGAAAATAAAATTGACCTTGTCCTTCAAAAGTTCAATTCAAAATGGCCGCTTAAAAATTCTAAAATAGGTCATTAAAACTATGATACAATATGATGCAATTAATTATTCTTGTCAAAATCAAATGATTATTTAATATGATCAGATTTTAATGAGATTGGCCACCAAATATAGCGATTATAAGCCTAATGGCTCAATTAACAGTATATACAGTATTGTTTTACTAGCGCGTTAAGGTATAATAATCAGATTGAAAAAATCACTTTTATTTTTTTTTTACTTGACTTATATTTAACAATAAGCTTAGTTTATAAATATTACCAAAGAATAAATATTTCGTAATAACAAATTAATATTCCATAATTACGAAATAATATTTCGTAATAACGAAGTAATATTTCGTATTTACGAAATAATATTTCGTAATAACGAATCAATATTTCATAATTAAGATTTTATATTTCGTTAAAACGAAATAATATTTCTAATTGGGAATTATTATTTCGTAAAAACGAATTCAATTCCTGGAGAAAGTGTGGAAAATATCACTTCAGGTGTTCCGTAATTTTCAACATTATTTGTAGCTATGATATTTTAAATGATTGTGTTTTCATATATTTTGCACTTATTATGGTATTTAAAAAAATGTCATTTCAATGCCATAAACACAACACAAACCGAGACAAAAAGTGTTTTAAAATATATACTGCACCCCCTCCTACCAACCCCCCCCCTACCCCCAAAAATAAAATAGGATATCTTAAAGTAACAGCAAAGTTATCTATAAAAATATTATTTGTTGTAAATCGAGTAATATTTTCTTTGACCATATAAAAGTCACGTGGGTAGGCTACATAGTAGAGGTGTTAAAATATAATTGTTATACACCCTTTGTTAGCCATTGAAATAGTATTTAATGTATAAAGGATTTTCAAAAATGGTTATTATTCAGAGCGGGCGCTATGGTGCAGTGGTAACACTGTCTGCCTACAAATCAAGGGGTCGTGAGTTCGATCCCCCGCTACTCCACTGAACGAATAAATGACTACGAGATTGACATAACCAGGACATAGACACAGAATGACGGCAACGATAGAAACAAGAGAAGACCTTAACGGAACAGGAAACAAGTACCGAAAGTACAAGACCGAAGACGACGACCGATAACAGAAGGAAAAACGGAGACAAGAACTGACAACAAGCGAACAAAGACGAGGACCGATAACATAAGAACAGAGACAGGGACCGATAACAGAAGAACTGACAACAAGCGAACAGAGACGAGGACCGATAACAGAAGAACAGAGACAGGGACCGATAACAGAAGAACTGACAACAAGCAAACAGAGACGTCAACCGATAACAGAAGAACAGGACAGGGACCGATAACAGAAGAACTGACAACAAGCGAACAGAGACAGGGACCGATAACAGAAGAACTGACAACAAGCGAACAGAGACGAGGACCGATAACAGAAGAACAGGACAGGGACCGATAACAGAAGAACTGACAACAAGCAAACAGAGCCATCGACCGATAACAGAAATAGGGACCGATAACAGAAGAACATAGACGATGACTGATGACAGAAGAATGGAGACGGTGATCGATAACAGAGACGGGAACCGATTACATAAGAATTGACAAGAAGAAAACGGAGACCAGGACTGATTACAGAAGAAAAGAGACAAGAACCGATGTCAAAAGAACGAAGACGAGAACCAACACGACAGGGACCGAAGAACTGACATCAAGACAACGGAGACGAGGATTGATTACAAAAAATAGAGACCAGGACCGATAACAAAATAACACAGACCGGGACTGAAGAAGAAGAATGATATCGGGGATCGATAACAGAGACGGGAACCTATGACAGATACCACTTGTACAACAAGAAAACAGAGACCAGACTCTGATTACAGAAGAATAGAGACGAGAACAGATTACAAAAGAACGAAAAAGAACGAAGACGAGAACCGATAACAGAAGAACGAAGACGACGACCGATAGCAGAAAAACAGAGACGAGAACCGATAACAGAACATCTAACAACAAAAGAACTGAGAAGAACGAAGATCACGACCAATAACAGAAGAACTGGCAACAAGAGAACTGCGACGAGGATCAATAACAGAAGAACGAAGACGACGATCGATAACAGAAAAACGAACACCAAAACCCAAGAGTACTCAGAGAAAAATGCCTTTAATTAATGTATATTTTGCATGCACACGTTTTAACCCCCTCACACATCTTAACGCTGAAGGCATCCGAGTAGCCACTCTATATGCTTGCATAGAGTGCCAGATAAAATCTAGCATATAGGGCAGGAAAGAGTGTAGTGTTCGCTGCGTAAACCTTAAATATGTTTAAATGCCTTAAAATTTTCAGTACTATCTTTAATATTACTTCTATATTACTATTATATTAGCCTATAGAAAAATGTCTGCCATCTTGGATTTTTCGGCCATATTGGATTGTTTTGTGCTTTTAATTCTGTTTTGGTGTCTAATTTGGTTTTACCTAAACATGCTTTGTGACAAATTTCAGGCTTTTCCTTTCTTTGATATATCATCCATTTATAATAAAGAAATTTGGCGGCCATTTTAGTGGTCATTTTAAATGGCCATTTCAATGGTCAAATTCAAGTTTTTCAATTTGGTATCCACCTTTATCGGATTCAGCATACCTTAAATAGGTAAAATAGACCAAGATACCACTTGTACTACAAAATGCCTCTAGCATCTTATAGGGAGCCAAATTCTCAAAATCAGTCCTGTCTTTGTCGTAAAAAATGAACATAAATGATTTTTGATGCAACTCTAGTTATGCAAAATTCCTTATCTATCAAACTGGTGCCTTGCAAGATGAATTATAGTACATAAAAATAAACTTATACAGGAAAATACATACAGATACACAGTACGATTTAGATTGCAAAGATCTGAAAATACCACAGAACTTGCAGCCTTTTGATTCTTTATAAATATATATGCTTATAGTAAGCTCCAGGATTATTTACATCTGTGTTAAACAACAGTAAAAGTCGTTACAAGCCCTATTTTGGAATAATATGGTTTTCTTCAGGCCGTTCTCATATAAATTCACTGTGGCTGAGGGGTTTTCGCGCTCGCTTAGGAAGCGAGAGGTCTGGATTTCAAATCCCAGTAAAGGCAACTCATTTTTTTTTCAAATTGTTTAAGTCAAATAATCATTGGATTGAATATCAGTGTTGCAATTAGTCTTATAGCCAATTTACTACAATTAAAACGCTGGAAAGCGTTGGTGGCACTATATACATATAATCTCATAACCTGTACCTTTCTTACATCCTGAGACCCAAACAAATTCAGCGCCTTCTGTGCTTTGAAATCATATTGTAAACAACAAATAACATAATTATATTATTGATGTTGAATAAAAGATAAATTCAATATTAATATTGTTATAAAGTAGATATAGGTATTCCTTTTTGTAAGACGACAAAAATACACCGAGGTAAAAATAATATAAAACTTCCTGTAAAATGACAAAAACGAATAAATAACTTATATAAATGTTAAAGCATGATTCCTTTAAGATATAAACTATATTTCAGATGTAAATAGAAATAATGCTAATGAAGTTATCAAATGATTAAGATAGAGTTAAACAAAATATTAATGTATGCATATTTGATAACAATTCAGTCGCAAGGACACTTCATAATTTAGAGTAAAAAGTTACTCATTAATACTAATGTAGTGAATATTTTATTGATGATTATTTTATTAATATCAATATATTTCACAATGTATATGTCTGGTAATTCAAACAAATTATTGTTTGATATATATTTCCCGAATGACTTTAAATGTTAAGTTAGCCAGGAAAGGAAAACATTCCTTACGATTTTCGTGATACATTTTTGCAACCCATACAGATACTGAAATCACCTTTCTTCTTTGCCATGTTGATCGATTATAAATTTAATTTAAATAAATAGTTCATCAATGTAACCAATATTTTTTTTATTTTGATGGCACACAATTATGACAAAAAAAGTTTTGTTAATTTATGAAAGTCATTTGATCTCAAAATAAATTAGTTGAAACAACAAACAAATTACATTGTATTATCTTAAAGTTTGCGTAATACGTTCTAAATAGAGGACAGTGTCTATTTGATACAAAAGTATTAAAATGACCCCTTGTCAATCGATCATACAAAATTAGACATGTATGTCAAGTGACAGATTGTTATTTGAGGCGCGTCACGACAAAACCAACGTTATGCGTTTGCGACCAGCATGGATCCAGACCAGCCTGCGTATCCGCGCAGTCTGATCAGGATCCATGCCGTTCGCTTACCAACCCTATTACAAGTAGAGAAACTGATAGCAGACAGAATGGATCCTGATCAGACTGCGCGGATGCGCAGGCTGGTCTGGATCCATGCTGGTCGCAAACCCATTATGTTGGTTTTGTCGTGACGCGGCTCATATTGTTATTTCATTATTCATCTTAATATTGCTAATATGTAACTTCAATAGGCCAACATGACCAGAAAATCCAGTGTGACACACGGTTTTGTTATAACGCATATATTTTAGGTCGACCAAAAGTTTAAAAAAATATTAATCTTTTTATAAAGACTACATCTTGGAACGTACATCCAGTTATGTTGACCTTTGTTTGACTGGTCTAAGAACGTTAAAGACATTAAAAATGAATAAAATTTGTTCATCTTTAGAAAGGGCAAACATGAGTTTTCAAATGATTAAATAGCAGTTTTAGAACATGTTAGATAGTGCGTACTCATCATCTGAAGAAAGTAGCACAGAATGTGAAATAAGTTGTCATAAAAGTAGCAAAATGTAAATGACTTCCATACAAAATACCAAATCTGTTTAACTATAAAAATTAACAAAAGTAACAGAGGCAAAAGATGTCTAAGGTACTTGGCCATTGAGTGAATTTCTGAAAACGATAACAGGAGTCCAAAAATATAAAAATAGAAAGGTTTTGAGAAATAGAATTTAAAGCCTTTTCTGAGGTCATATAGACAGGTCTATTACCAAATTAAACTTTTGTTCAGAGATCATGGTACTCAACCTGACAACGTTATTTATATGTGATTTCCTTTCTTTGCTTGTTCGAAACAAAATTCAATATTAGCCGCGTCATGACAACACCAACATAATGTGTTTGCGACAAGCATGGATCCAGACCAGATCAGGATCCATGCTGTTCGCTGTCAATTTCTCTACTTGTAATAGAGTTGGTAAGCAAACAGCATGGATCCTGATCAGACTGCGCGGATGCTGTCTAAAATCTTCGATTATTTCAATACTCGGGAAATATTCCAAAAATACTCGTAAAGTTAAAACTATAGTAAACCTGGTCAACAATTTTTTGCGACAACCTTTCTTCTTCAAAATGGTAATCCCATTTCCCCCATTTTTTTATACTAAATAGTAAGACACCGAAGGGTAATCCCATTTCCCTCATATTTGTACTAAATAGTAAGACGATTCTGGAAGTTAACGAAGTAACGTTTTCGTTTTGTTTATCAACTTCTTCTTCTTATTTTTTTTTGGCTACAACTTTCACTCGGAAAATTCACACAATTTAATCTTAAGAATACAATTGTATTGTATTGTATTGTATTGTATTGTATTGTATTGTATTGTATGGATATTAATATCATGACATTAAGTAAATTTAAATTACTCACTTTATTGAAAGAACCTCACAGCCTCTGTAAGTCTTTCCAAATTTACTTTTTGAGTAGAAAAGATCCATCTGAAAACAAAAGTGTAGATTTTTAAAAAGATGAATACGAATGGAGGTGAAAACGAATGGAGGTGAATACGAATGAAGGTGAATACGAATGAAGGTGAGTACGAACGAAGGTGAATAAAAAGTACTGAATTCATTTAATGTTTTGGCTTCCACATCGTGTTTTAGTATTAGAAACTTTATTCACGTTGCAATTAGCTTTAAGAGTTCAATTTTGAGTTACATTTTGAGGATGAAAAAAACATACTATTGTTTTCGGAAACTCATTTATCAGATGTTAAGATTTTAGTTTGCTTCACTTCACAGAAATATGGATCTATTTTACGGTTAACTTGTCACGGTTCACTTGTTGAGAATGATAATTATACAAATGATCATTTCATCTCGGCCATTTCGTAATGTAAACTAGCCAAGTTGCTCAGAAACTTGAGGAAGAAAGAAAGAAAAAAAAGAAAGAAGGAAAATTTCATAAATTAGCTTGATAGCTTATAAACACGAAATAATTGAAAGTCCATAGTGAAAAATATTGTAAATGTTTGTTAAAGGCACATTATGCCTCAGAAATCCACATATATGATTCTCTTGAAATGTCAAGCATGTGTTTAATAATGTTTTGATAATGAAATTGGAGCAAATTAGATGTCAAACAGCTGAAGAAAGTAGCACTGAACGTTAAGTAATGTGTCATTAAGGCAGCAAAATGTCAACACAATAGTATTTTTACTTCCATACAAAATACTAATTCACTGTAATTACTAATTACTAATTCACTAATTACCAATTGCCAACAGAGCAGAAGAAGCAACAGACAGTTCAAATATATGGCAAATGTGATTTCTTTTTGAAACTGTATCAAGATACCAAAAATAAAAACGTATCTGATTAATGGACATGATTGCATTTCTAAGGCATAATGGGTCTTTAAACAATATTTATTTATTGTTAATTTGTATTCCTTTTAAAATATAAGTTTGTTCTTTAATTACGTGAAAGATAAGACCCATTTTAATATGATAACAAATTAATGTATCTCTCATTCATTCACTTTTAATAATCACATACGGATACCATGCATAACGCATTATATTTTAAAATTCTAACAATTCAAAGAATAAATTTATATATAAAAAAACAATCGTGATAAAGGAGAAAAAGTTAACGAGCCGCAGATAATTCTGCTTTTTTGTCTTTTTTGCATTTATTAAAATTACAGAAATTTGCTATATGAAAGTTAATTTGAATTTTGATGTAAATTAAAATCTTGTTAATCAGTGTCACATAGAAATATAGCGTTTTTAAACATACCATGAATTAAACAAAGTATTTTCTTGTTCATCAAATTTTATTCTTATCGATCATGTGTGTAAGTAAGCAACTTTTGGACTGTTTAAACTATCTGATAATTTATGAACTTTACTTTTGGCAAACATATACATCATTTTACAACACACACAAAATGCAATTACTGTACATTTATGTCTCATAAATTTCTAATTCGTGCATATTCGATCAACATTATTACAACATCATATTCATCAAAATTTAAAAGTCATTTCTTCAAAGATAACGAATAGAAATTTATTGTTGAATTGTTTATTTTATTAGCTTTAAAATAACAATTTTCTAAAATTACAATGTTTAACATCTAAATAAAGGCAGCTTGCTAGCTTAATATAAGAAACGAACATTTTTTTATTCAAAATGATTAAACGATTTCTCTGCATTTAAGACACTAGAACCACCCCAAAAACTTCTGTTTTGTATTTTTATTATTTTATTGGTAATTCGTTATGCAGAGCTACCACAATAGAAAGTTATAAACTCTTACAATTTATGAAGAAAAGAATATTATCTTATACTGCGCATTCACATTTTGATGTATCATAGTTTTGAGACCTTTCTGTTGAAAATGTTTCATAAGTTAATTAATACCCACACATGAACACTGCGTTAACTGGGGTGCAGGTTTTAGTTATCCGCACTCCAGAGCATGCTCGTTGTTTGGCTTTCTAGGGAGTGAACAGGGATAACAATAGAAAATTCATATTTAGATGCTCTTTCATTGGTTTCTTTTTTTCTGGGGTTTCATATAGTGATGACTCGGGCGTGCTTTTATTTTTGTCAATGACACAAAAGAGAAAGAACATCAAAACACTCGGCAATCTGATTTATACTCGTGGGCTGCTCATCCTCCTACAAATCAGATAGCTTCGTGTACGATGCTCTTTCTATTACTTAACACTAAGCTCTTTGAATGCCTTTGATTATGTAAAAGAGGATACATTCATGTATCAATATTAAATTATTTATTTAATCATGTCAAGGCGTGCTGATGCATATTTTACATGCTTACATCAGCGAAATACAGTCAAATTAGCAATTCATAGAAACAAATATGTAAAGCATTGCATAGCTTAAATAATTCAAATAGTTTGATTATTTTCTTGTCTTTACGTTAACCAGTACTTCATTAAGATGTTTACATTATTCTGGGAAAACCAATTTATAGTTTTTCAAGACTAAAACTTAGATGTTTACATACTTTCAAGACTAATAATACACGTTTACATTATTCTTGGAACAAGTACATTTTTAAAGTTTTTCATGACTAATATTTACATGCTAACAAATGTCAAGACTAATACTTACATGTTTACGATATTGTCAGAATTAATACTTACATGTTTACAATTGTAAGGATTAATACTTACATGTTTACAGTATTCTGATGACAAATCTTCAAAATCATTCGATGACAAATCTTCTATGTTTTCAACATGGTCTATATTACGTATTTTCATTGCTAAATTTGCTCTAAGCATATCTGAAAACAACAACAACATCATCGTCATCAACAACAACATCATCAACAACAACAACATTTGATGTCGAATAAAAAAAGAGTACGTGTCTGCATATATAAGTTGCTGATATATTCAGAACGTCCTAAAGTGTGTTAAAGACCACTCTATAAATAAAGACCACTCTATAAATAAAGACCACTCTATAAATAAAGACCACTCTATAAATAAAGACCACTATTTGACAGTCAATAATTCATTAAATAGAACAATGTGTAACCCCCCTCCCCCCAAAAAAAGGCAACCTGTCTTTAAAGGGCAAATTTCGGTCTCACCCTCTAATGACCTTTATTCAAGTTGATTTAAGTTTGACAGCATTTCCTTTATCCTGATAAATTATAGCAAATTTATTTGAAAGTCATGATAGACCGAAGATATCATTGTATCATTCAAACTTAATAAAAAATATACAGAGGATATTTGTTTAGTTCAGTGTAAGATCGGAATATATTTCACCGAGTGAGCACCAAAAGGCGCAGCCAGGAATGAAATTTGAACTTTTGGTGTTCAGGAGGTGAAATATATTTCGATCTTACATTAAACTAAACAAATTTTCATTTTGTTATATGCAAAGAAACGTTTAAAAAGACATTTTAACCTAGTACTAAATGAAAAGGGCGCCATATAATAATACAACGTGACGTCATTTACGACGTCACGTCATTAAGTTGGTTTCCTGTACTGTTAACGCTTGTATTTCACTGAAACAACGTAACGGGCTCAAATATTCAAAACAGTGAAAATATCAAATTGATATTTTCACTGTTTAAAACAGTGAAATTATCAGTTTTTATTTCACTGATATATTTTTATAAACCACCGAAAAGCATGTATTAAAAATAAATTAAAAAAAAACACACTTAGTAACCTACCTATCTGTTTTTCTTGCGTCTCTGAAACGAGAAATACAAAATGATGTTAGCATGTTTTATTCGAAAACATAAATTTTGATTAGGGCAGTTTGAAGTTTACCATAAAGTTAAAACGTTATGAGATGTTTCACGAAAAATGCCAGGATTTTTGCAAAGTATTTGAGATGAAAAACGAAACTTATTTTTTTTCCATATTTGGTAAATTGGTATGGTTAAAATTCAGGTCAATGTAGAAAAATGTGTATTTCATTCTGTTTTACTATTAAAAAATGTCTTGTTATTAAAAATTGCTTTTAATGTACAAACAAGTATAAAATATTCGACGCATTCATTCAACGTGAAATATAAGTGTTTAAATGTACGAGTATATAAGTATATTTATTTGACTTTGGTGGTAAATTAGTACAGTATCAAAAAATGCTAACCTACCTTTTAAAGAAGATGCAAAATAGATGGCAGCCCCAATTGCAGCGGCTAAAATAATTAATAACAGAACCGCCATTACCGGTCCCAGACATTTCCGCACCTTTTTATGAAATGGTAAGTCTATAGGTTGGATAAAAGAAAAAGGATCATTCGGATCGTATTGTATGTTATTTGTCACTGTCACTGATACATTTCCGATCGTTGGCACTTTGTGTGTCTTTTGTTCAGCATTTGCCGTACTACTTTTGTCCGTAGAACGTTTTTTGCCTTTGCTAGATCCGGACAAATCACTTTCCGCAACACTCAGTTTTGAATCAGAACGTTTGTGTGTTACTTCTAGAATTTTATCTTCTATCACCCTTGATGTTTTTCTTGGATATTTGGAATATCTATCGTTCTTTTCATTGTCACTTGAGGAATCCCTACCTCTATGTTTTCCTTGTTTTTCATCACTACACTTAGAAGCGTTGCCAAATTCGGATAACTCACTATACGAATTATATCCGGAAGAGGTACGAGTATCTTCATGGGATTTATCCCGGCGTTTCCGGCGTTTCTTTTCGTCTGATCGATCTAATGTACCCGGTGGTTCTGAGCTGCCCTTCCGGCCTCTTTGATTGTAGTAGCTGCTGGAAACTGAACTGTCTTCAAAATCTCCACAAGACACGCTGGTGTGAATCGACGGCTGAAATATAAACCTTTATTATGAATTTTATTGTTGAATAGATGAGCTTAATTTTATGAACAAGATGAAAATATGGCAATTGGTGTATGGTCTATTGTTATACTGTATTTATCTCCAAATAAATATTGGACTTGTTGCTCTACAACAGATAAAGCACTGTAGGAGCACATTTGTCTCGGAGCACATTTGTCTTACGTAAGACCGATGCGGTCGCATTTGTCTAACATGAGACAAATGGGACCTCAAATGTCTACCCCAAAAAACTCATTTGTGTGACAAATGTGCTCCGATCAAGTTTTTTAAGGGACAAGAAAGCACATTTGTCTCATGTGTTTTTAAGGGACAAGAAAGCACATTTGTCTCATGCCATTTTTATGAATTATTTGTCACATATTTCCCCACGGCAGAAATTCTTTTTTAGAATCGAGGTTCGCCGTTTTACCTCAAGTGTAATCATCAATAGGTTTGCTTATGCTTTTTTTATGAAAACCTACAGTGAACTATTAATTATAATATTTCTAATTCAAGAAATTTATTGGCTTAACCTGAAGGCGTACACTGAAACATACTAAATTCCGTTCACGATGGTACAATGGTGACAGCGCGATGGCACGATGGTACCTTGATGAAAACGCGATGATGCGATAGTGAAAACACAATAGTACGAACGTGAAACAACGATTGTACGATGGTGAAACAACGAAGGCTTTATGATGAAAACGTGATGGTACTATGGTGAAAGACGGTGTTACAATGATGAAAATACAATACAATGGTACGATAAGATGAAACTGCGATGGCATGATGATGAAAACACAATATTATTTTTCTCGATCGTGTCATCGCATCATCGTGCCATCGTGTTTTAATCATCGTACCATTTCAATTTCACCTTTGTACCATTGTGCATAGCTGTTCAGGGAGACAAAAATGTTACTTATGTCCAAACAGAACACCGTAATCGGTTGATATTGAATGATACAATATCGTGACTCGTTTCGCATCTCGCCGAAATCTCGCGTCTCGCTTCGCATCCCTTTCGTCGACGCGAGACAAGAAATTGATTCCAGATCATATACCGCTAAGTAGTCTACATAAATCACTTAAAGGCCCATTATGCCTGAGAAATGCTTTTATTTGTATTCCTCAAAAGCTTTTTATTTTTGGTATACTTTTATAGCTCCAAAAAGTTACTCAATGGCTAATTACTTGAAGCATTTTTCATCTGCTGCTTTTCTGCAGTTTGTACAGTGGAAGTGATTTAGAATTCTGTGACATGCAGAACAGGGATATTCTTTAATATAATATATGACTCCTATGCAGATGCAGGAAGTTTTTGACTGACCGGGAGTGACCTAAAAACGGTGTTTTCTGTATTTATAAATACAGAAAACACAGATCAATGGCTGGTAGCCGGTATACAGATGGACATTATTAATACCTTTTAAGAATTTTATGGAAAAAATGTGAGACAAATGTGCTTCGAGTGTCCTTTCTATTGTGTGTCGAACACATCTGTCTCATTTCCAATTTGTCGCAAATATGAATGTTTACGAACACATCGGTCACACTTCGTGAGACAAATGTGCTCCGAGACAAATGTGCTCCTACAAAGCACGGTCTCCCAAAGCTTTATTCGTTATTTGTGAACGAATTCATGTCCTATATTCACTCTTTAAAGGCACACAGGGAAGATATATTCGGTAGCGGAATTTATACGGCGTGTAAATGCTACCAATAACGATAATTCATAACAACTTACAGAACAATAAAATGTTTTAAAAATTTTATGTTTCGTTGAATTACAATAATTGACTTCAGACATTTGAGCCGCGTCACGACAAAACCAACATGGTGCGTTTGCGACCAGCATGGATCCAGACCAGCCTGCGCATCCGCGCAGTCTGATCAGGATCCATGCTGTTCGCTTTCAGTTTCTCTACTTGTAATAGGGTTGGTAAACGAACAGCATGGATCCTGATCAGACTACGCGGATGCGCAGAATGGTCTGAATCCATGCTGGTCGCAAACCCATTATGTTGGTTTTGTCGTGACGCGGCTCATTTAAGTATTTCATGTATATAAAAGAACACGGTATATGATAATAATTACTTTTTTAAAAAAAGGCGATAAAGCATAAATTATAATTATAATAAAACAAAATCTTCACGGAGATAACATCAAATGGAACAAAAAATAAACAAAAGCAACAACAACAACAAAAGAAAAAAAGCGAAAAATATTTTCGAATAACAAACTTTCGTTTGCACTATTTTGACTATTATTATAATAATGATTTAAATATATCCTTGCTAGAATATTTCAAGCAATTAAAACTGATGGAATTTTAACGAGAATATCATTTTTGCCACATTAACATACGTCTGAAAAAAGAGATAATTAAGATTGAAGCACGATGACGTCATTGACTTCTCCAACCAATGTGGGCTTGAATCCCGACGATGAATTCTGATTCTGTCACGCAGATAAGCAAATCATTAAGCTTACATAAAACTATTCCATAAGAACTTGTTTCCTGAACGATTTGAATTAGCAGTATAGATTAAAGCTTCATGCCTCTAGATTAGTCAAATATTTCTTAAAAAATCAAACTAGAGGAAAATGTACTAAGACTTTAAGAAAATTTAAAAGATTCTAGATTCAAGAAATAATTTATGTACAATTAACAACTGATTTTTGTCGTATTTATCATCATATTTCTATTGCGTGACTAACGCAAAAAGAGGTATTTGTGCATATTTTTTTGCAAATTTTGACATCATTTTGATAACTTACGTGAATTTTGAGTGCCTTGTTGTAACGTGTGAATTACCTTCTTTGTTCACTTAACAACATTTTACTTTTAAATACATTTTTTAAATTTTCATGAAATTAAATTAGAATCATGAATTCTAGAAGCAAGCAGCTTTAACCTGGTGAATTTCTAGAATCGACTTGTCAATTATTTTTGGAACTATCTGTGATCAGTTTTGCGCTTATCAAGATAAAATTATTAAGCTAGTTGAACAACTGCATGTACAAGGGGGTTAATCCATGCGCGCGCATCCTTAAAGTTCTGATACCGCAAACACTTCATCGGCCGGTATTTCGAAGAAAAGCGAGTGGTGTGAAGAAATCAGAAAAGGTATGAATTCAATTTCTTTTGCAAAGAAGAAGTCCTAACTTCTAGTTTTTATATACAAAATGTCTTGAAGTAACTCTGTCTTGTTTTGTCAGTATTTCGCGTTGAATGCGATTTTGATTCTGGATAGTGCGTACACCCGGCGTTAAAATGTTACAGAAAATGAGCAAATATCCATTAAACTGGCCGTTTTAAACGGCTGGAAGTTATTCTGTTGTAGAATCCTTTTCAAAAATATATTTTCAGCCTTCGTTCCAATTCATTTGTACTCAAAACGTATTTAAACTCACTATTTACAGAAGACAGAGATTATGATATTGCGTACACTCTAAAAAAATCCAGATACTGCGTACACATAACTATGCAGTTGATAGAAAGTAGGTATGTGAAGTTGGCTTGTACATTGTACATTGTAGTTCAGCCTGTAATTCCCCAATTTCAAGCTAGTAGTTGGGTATTCAGCTTGTAGCTCGGACCAGATACAACAGGATACGTTAAATTTGAATTACGAGCAAGTAGTTGGGTATTCAGCTTGTAGTTCGGACCAGATACACCAGGATACGTTAAATTTGAATTACGAGCTAGTAGTTGGGTATTCAGCTTGTAGTTCGGACCAGATACACCAGGATACGTTAAATTTGAATTACGAGCAAGTAGTTGGGTATTCATCTTGTAGTTCTGACCAAATACATCAGCATACATAATATATGAATTACGAGCTAGTAGTTGTGTATTCAGCTTGTAGTTCGGACTAAATACACCAGCATACATAATATTTGAATTAGAAGCTAGTAGTTGGGTATTCAGCTTGTAGTTCAGACTAAATACACCAGCATTCATAATATTTGAATTACAAGCTAGTAGTTAGGTATTCAGCCTGTAGTTCGGAAAAAATACATCAGCATACATTATATTTGAATTACAAGCCAGTAGTTGGGTATTCAGCTTGTAGTTCGGACCAAATACACCAGCATTCAAAATATTAACTAGCTGATGTATTTTGTCAGCTGGCATGTAAGCTGGTGTATTTGTTCAGATCTACAAGCTGAATACCCAACTACTAGCTTGTAATTCAAATATAATGTATGCTGATGTGTTTGGTCCGAACTACAAGATGAATACTAGCTCATAATTCAAATCTAACGTATCCTGGTGTATCTGGTCCGAACTACAAGCTGAATACCCAACTACTAGCAACTACTACAAGATGAATACCCAACTACTAGCAACTACTACAAGATGAATACCCAACTACTAGCTCGTAATTCAAATAATGTATATGCTGGTGTGTCTGGTCCGAACTACACGCTGAATACCCAACTACTAGCTTGTAATTCAAATATAATGTATGCTGATGTGTTTGGTCCGAACTACAAGCTGAATACCCAACTACTAGCTAGTAATTCAAATATTGTATATGCTGATGTATTTGGTCAGAACTACAAGCTGAATACCCAACTACTAGCTTGTAATTCAAATATAATGTATGCTGATGTGTTTGGTCCGAACTACAAGCTGAATACCCAACTACTAGCTAGTAATTCAAATATTGTATATGCTGATGTATTTGGTCAGAACTACACGCTGAATACCCAACTACTAGCTTGTAATTCAAATATAATGTATGCTGATGTATTTGGTCAGAACTACAAGATGATTACCCACAACTAGCTTGTAATTCAAATATAATGTATGCTGATGTATTTGGTTAGAACTACAAGATGAATACCCAACTACTAGCTCGTACTTCAAATTTGACGTATCCTGGAGTATCTGGTCCGAACTAAAAGCTGAATACCCAACTACTAGCTAGTAATTCAAATATTGTGTATGCTGATGTATTTGGTCCGAACTACAA